GGCGATATGCCGGGTCTTAAACCGTCTCAGCTGAATGATAATTAGGTCCGTACATTGTTGACACTAGGATTTAGTCAAACGTTTTAAAATACGAGTTATTCATTTCCCCAATACAGATGCTACTTGAGTTTAACACTACAGTTTTAAACTTTTGTGATACAGCTTATTTTTACAATAGTTAGAACTTAAATGAAAAACCAACAACAATTAACGTGAAAGAGCAGTACGCAATCTTTTTAAATATATTTTTAGTATATTCAATTTTAACGAAACTGAATTGTGACGTGTAGTCGGGAACAACGGCTCCTTATAACAGGAGCAATGTGGCGTGTCACGTCCTTATAACGGGACCATTGAGGCATACCACGCACAATGTGCGGGGATTTCCTCGGGCGTGACAGCTCACTGTCTTAATGTTCACCGATAACACCGCCAGCATGTCCTGACTTTCACAGTGAACGTGTTCGGCCTTCATTTGACGGTCTGGTGTATAGACTTGATTATCAGGCTTTTGCCTCGAACGCAATTAAATTTAGTGGTTAAGAATTAGTTTCAACCCACAGAGGAGTAACGAAAATGGGATACCTCCACAATGATACTGCTTTGGTTTAAACACTTAAGTACTCTTCACGTAAAGGAATTTGATACAATCTTCAGAAGAAAAAGGTAAGCATTTTGTTCTTTTTGTATCAGGGAGGGGCTAGGTGGCCTTGTGGTTAATGCGTTAGCTTGTCACACCGACGCCCGGTTTCGATTCCCGAAATAAGTATACCCAGTTCTGTCCCTACTTAGGTACTCTGACTGAATGTTACTAACAGCGGCGTAAAACAGTACTCGTTTCACATTTTGTTGCAATGGAGCTGTTTCACAAATGCGGGCAAAGTCGTTCATGTCTTAGGTTGGTCAGTTTTTCACGAGACTCATTAATGTGACAGCTGTAACGGGAATATGATCCCTGTGAAGATCCGCGTTAGAATTGATCTTCAGCAACCCATGCACGTCGTTAGAGGCGACTAACGGGATCGGGTGGTTGACACACGTCATCGTATCCCAGTTGCTTAGATCGATGCTCATGCTGTTGGTCACTGGATTGTCTGGTCCAGGCTCGATTATTTACAGACCGCCGCCATATAGCTGGAATATTGCAGAGTGCGGCGTTAAACAAAAACCAAACAACCAACCACATTGTGTCCACCCGATCCACACAACATGGGAAAGCGTTCTCCCGGCAGTCCCATGTCCAGTAAACGTTGCACTGTAATGCCAGTTAAAAACGGATCGATATATATAGGCTACATTCATCAGTCAATAGTGTTCACTCTATAAAGTGGGACAGATGTTTAAATACACATTGTGGTATGGATTGGCGTGCATTAGATGAGGTCGATTTTGTGTTGCTTTTCAAACGTGCGTCTTTGTGCTTGAATAACATTTTGATAACGACAATATACTTATATTAATTCCTTCATTTGGCAAACATGAAGATTTAAGAACCATGATTGAGTGAGACGGTGATTGAGTGTTTTACGCCGCTCTGAGCAATAGTCTAGCAATAGACGGCGGGGGAAACCAAAAATGACCTTATCACATTATACCCATGTGGGAATCGAACCCGGGCCGTCGGCTTGGCGAGTGAACGCATTAACCACTATTGAACCCCACCGCACTTTACAACTATGAGTACAGGGTATTGTCCCGTCAGTAATTTTCGATTTTGTCAAGATTTCCCGTAATGCTTGGCGTGCGTGCGCGTTGTGGGAGGGATAGCCGCCAATCCGAATTACTCAACGTACTTCCATTGTGTCCACACGATCCCCAATACATCAGACGTCATGTCAAGTGTTAAATTGTGCGACTTGCGTATTCACCATACGTATTCATATCTGACACCTAAAACATAATCCCGGAATCCGCATAAAGGCGAGTGACATATTTTGATTGTTAGGAGCCTCGGCAAGTCTATGTGTAAAGAACAGATGCAATCTTCACTGGTGTCTGGTTTTGTCTCTCTCAAGCTAACGACACGTCACACAAAATATGTAAATATGTAATTATTGTTCCGACATTTCGACTCTGCTTGACGCATTCTCAACATCCTCGACTCGGTGTTTGGTCATTCAATATTTGGTAAGTGGATTCACCCTCCAATATTGTACATATACAAATACACACCTCTACAGTGATAGTTGTTATAGAACAACGTGGTTACCTTGGTCCTTGGTGAGATAAGAAACCGCTTAAATGTTTAACAGTAGCCTACATATGTATCTTATTCAAAATGGTATCTGTGCTTTGTGCAGTAAATAAATTTTGAGTGAAAATTTGCCATTGATTCATGAAAAATGTGTCATTGTAAAGGAATTCAAACTAAATGTCATCGCAATTTACTTGATAATACAATGTGACATTTAATATTTGCTGCAGAATAATAATGGTATGACTCTATTACAATAAAATGATGTGTAACTGGAGTCTTTTGTGGTTTGACGTAATATCAAGTGTATTTATGGGAACGTTCTCGAATTTTTCTGTCCAATGGTGTCCGTACCACAAACAGACACTTATGATGATATTTATTTTCGATTATAATAATATAATAAAAACTATAACATCACACACTAAAAAAGTATCATATGTCGATGATAAAGGTTTGCGTTATAACGAGGGGCAGGCTGTGCGCGTTATCCACGTGTTTAGTCTACGTGTGACGAACGAGATAGAGTCGTGTCCTCGGTCAGGGCGACACACCGATTTCGTTTGACCGTTGCCAAGCATAATTATAGCGTGCCTCGGGTCACGGTTGTGGGATGGTTGTCACTCTGGTTGGTCTGTGTTCAGTTCTTGAAATAAGACCATTTGCTAGGTCTACCAAAATGATCGATAATCGGAAATATGGTCGATAGAAAATTTTATTATTGATGATCGATATGAAAATTGTGTTATCGATGATATCGTATATCAGCTTATATAATGGGTTGGTTTTTTAATTTTCTCACGCAATATACTTTATTCATGGTCTGCTTCTAACGGACGGAGGTCGTTTGGTTAATAATCCATACATAAACATGTCACCAGTGATGTCAAATGTAAAAAGGTTGTTTAACAAACGATCATTATTTCTACCAGCAAGTGACAAGCCCCCCTCCCCGTAAGAAATAGCGAAAAGTGACAACAAAATAATGATCGTTTGTTAAACAACGTTTTTATTCGGGTGTCCAAAATTATGAGACAAATCATCAGAGTTGGTCTGTCGATTTCATGTGACTGTGTAAAAATTTGGTTCTGTTGTAATTATTAAATTTTGTGTTAGTGAGCAATTCATCGGTCTCAAATGAAGTCAAACGGACTATAGGGCGAAACTGAATGTACGGGAGTTTGCGCTGAGATAGATAACCAGTCAGATAGATACAGCTGGCACAGCTGGTAATTTGTATTAATAACGTAACACACACTACACATTGTGAACACACAGCTGATTTTGTGGGATCGTTTTGTGGATTGTCTATTTCGGGAGGTATTTCATATTTCGGGAAACTTCTACTATGCGCGATTTCTTCTGACTAATTGCGTATGCAAGTTAACACATACGAAGTCCCCAGACCAGGGACCCGTTCCTCAAAGCGATCGTAGCGCTAAGGTGATCGTAACTCCCATACTTTAACATAGACTTACGACTGTCGTAGCGCTAAGGTGATCGTAACTCCCATACTTTAACATAGACTCACGACAGTCGTAGCACTAAGGTGATCGTAACGCATACTTTAACATATACTCAGATAGTCGTAGCGCTACGATCGCTTAATGTATGGCAGGGCTTACGACAATCGTTCCCATACTTTAACATAGACTTACGATTTCGTAGCGCTACGATCGCTTTGGAACAAGGCCCAGGGCTCTTTGTTTTGTTGTGACTGTGGACGTTGATGCTGGCGGACTTGCGGATGCTTTGTTTTATTTAACGCCGCACTCAACAATATTCCACCTACATGGTGTCAGTATGTAAATAATCGAGTCTGGACCAGACAAGCCATTGATCAAAAACATGAGCATCGATGTACGTAATTTGGATACGATGACATATGTCAACCAAGTCAGCGAGCCTGACCACCCGATCACTTTAGTTGCCTTTTACGAAAAGCATGGGTTTCTGAAGACCAATTCCAAACGCGTAGTTGGGAGTAAACAAGTTTAGAGTTATCTACCTTTCGTTAAAGACAGGATCTGTAGCTAGTCGGAATAATTTGTTGGAAGATCAAATGATATTCACATTCGTTATATTTTTTCACCTATGTATTTCCTTTTTTCTTTACTGAAACCTAATATATTTTGTGCTTTGTAATTAATTCCATTTTATTCAGGCGACTGTTTTGATGCTGCTTGGTTGTAAGCGGTTCAAGCATTATATTCTTCGAAATGTCTCACTCACACCCATCCGGGGAGGTGGGGTAGCCTAGTGGTTAAAGTGTTCGCTCGTCACGCCGAAGACCAGGGTTCGATTCCCTACATGGACACAATATGTGAAGCCCATTTCTGCTGTCCCCCGCCGTGGATGTTGTTGGAATATTGCTAAAAGAGGCGGAAAACTAAACTCACTCACTCGCGCCCATTCGCTTGTCGAAAGCAAACTGGGTAATATTGATATTGACTCGGCAGCAAGGACTGTTGAGTGAGTGCGAGAATTAGGGTTAACGTCACTTTGAACAGTATTCCAGTTATTTCCCGCCGTGTCTGTTTAATAGGGGAGGAAACCCCGAAGTAACCCAGGCCTCAAACGTTTACCATTTTGGAAGCACGTGTATGGTGCTGACAAGGAGTATAATGAATCTAATTGGAGTGAGTGAGTCTGGTTTTACGCCGCGTTTAGCAGCAGGCTACTCCAGCAATATCGTGAAGTATTGACTCCGAATAATATTTTGTTATGTTTATGGCGTATTAAAACCGACATGTACACTTTACGTAAACTGAAAATTATGAATGCCAGTTTTTATTTTATTTTTCAGGCACCCTTCCAGTGGATGACTGCAGACAAAGTGCAAAACTTGTCATAAACACAGCCGCCATGATAGAACGCCGGAAACAACGGACAAATGGCGTCCAGTCTCTCGAGATCGCGCGAGACAACAGTGATTTAGAATTGGGAAAGCCTAAAAGCAACCCGGGTAGAAGACGCTACCTGTATTTACTCGTGCTGGTGCCTATAGTGTGGTTTCTTGTTGCTTTTAAAATATCTTTATATGACGTGGAAAAGGACAGCAAAACGGGGCGTCATCAACAGACTGACGGTCGTGGGCCGGTCTCTAGAGATCACGATCATATTGATAATGTAAAATATGAAGAAATTAAAAGTTGGAAGAGGGACGATGACACAAGAGATGACCACATAGGTAAGTGAGTGAGTGTGTGAGTTTGGTTTTACGCCGCTTTTAGCAATATTCCAGCAATATCACGGCGGGGAACACCAGAAATGGGCTTCACACATTGTACCCATGTGGGGAATCGAACCCGGGTCTTCGGCGTGACGAGCCAACGCTTTAACCACTAGGCTACCCCACCGCCCCCCACATAGGTAAGAATGAACCTGCATTTAGAATGAGATTGAGTGAGTGAGTGTGGTTTTACGCCGCGCCCTGCAATATTTCAGTAATATCACGTCGACACCAGAAATGGGGTTACGTCTCCAAAAACGATGGATTTATCGATCTCTGTTATCTTTATCGATAGCCAACCCAGTGTCTTCAGTTTAAAAAGTAAAAGTTGGAAGTCAGTTTCAGTGACAAACAGATAAATGATGCAACAAATGACGTCACAAAAAATATATCTTTGTTAACGCTCTGTGAATAGAAAAGTGAAAGATTAAATAATACTATATTCTTTATTGGTTAGGATATCCACAGATATCTCCTTTGTTTTCATCTTTTGTTTCTTTCAGTCAATCTAAGGGGAGATAATCCGGAGAAGAAGAGCAAGATGAAGATTCTCAATCCCCATCCGGGTCTTGGTATGTGACATTTTGTTTGTTTGTTTAATTCAAACGCCGCACTCAGCAATATTCCAGCTTTATGGCGGCGGTCTGTAAATAATCGAATGTGGACCAGACAATCCAGTGATCAACAGCAAGTGGGATAGGATGACATGTGTTAACAAAGTCAACGAAGCTGACCACCAGATCCAGTTAGTTGCCTCTTACGACAAGCATGGGTTACTGAAGATCAGTTCTAACCCGGATCTTCACGGGTCTATGACATTTGAGTAAGTGAATCAATATTGGGTGACAGTCCGATTTGATCAGGTGTCAGATGTCAGATGTCAGATGGGTGAAACTAACAGCAGGGTAAGGTGCTAGATAACCTTAAAACGATCCAGGCGAACCAATATTCGAATCATAGGATTCTGGAGTTCTCAAGGGAAGTAACTCTACACATCGAATATCCGCGGGTTAGACAACTGGGGCTCTGCCCCTTAAGAGGAAGGAGGGCCCTAATGGTAAACGTTGACAATAATGGCAGTGAGTGAGTGAGTGAGTGAGGTACAAACAATATGGCATCAGTATCAAAAGACACAAACTGAGTGAATGAGTGAGGTTTCACACCGCTTTTAGCAATATTCCAGCAATATCAAGGGGAGCTCACCAGCTTCACACATTTTACCCATGTCGGGAATCGAACCCAGGTCTTCGGTAACTTGTAACATCGCGTTGTCCGAGTGTGTTTGGTACTATACTATACATGTACTATACTATGCTATACTATACTATGCTATACTATAACTGTACTATACTATACTATAACTATACTATAACTATACTATACTATAACTATACAATAACTATAACTATAACTATACTATAACTATACTATACTATAACTATACTATAACTATACTATACTATACTATAACTATACTATAACTATAACTATACTATAACTATACTATAACTATACTATACTATACTATACTATAACTATACTATACTATACTATACTATAACTATACTATAACTATACTATAACTACACTATAACTATAACTATACTATAACTATACTATACTATAACTATGCTATACTATACTATACACTATAACTATACTATAACTATACTATAACTATACTATACTATAACTATACTATATAACTATACTATACTATACTATAACTATACTATACTATACTATAACTATACTATACTATACTATACTATACTATACTATACTATACTATACTATACTATACTATACTATACTATACTATACTATACTGTGGGCGGTGGGGGAACCTTGTGGTTAAAGTCGTCATGCCGTTGGTTCGTTCTTTAACCCCGCACTCAGCAATATTCCAGCTACATGGTGGCGGAATGTAAATCATCGTGTCTGGACCAGACAATCCAGTGATCAATAGCATGAACATCGATCTACATTACTGTCAAGTCAGAAGCCTGACCACCCGATCCCGTTAGTTGAATCTCACGACGACAAGCATGGGTTACAGAAGACCAATTCTAAGCAGGATCTTCACGGGTGCTCGTCATGTTTGGTTTTAAAGTTGTTGGAAGTATTTTAGTCCTCTCACGTCGACTATCGGGAAAGGTCCAGTAACTAAGTAATCTTATACTAGCTTTGGGTTCAGAGATAATTTACACATTTGGTACATTTCTCACGTGTTAGTGCCGGCGAAGCTAATACATGTATGATAATGGGACGGTGGGGTAGCCTAGTGTAGCGTTGACTCGTCACGCCGAAGACCCGGGTTCGATTCCCCACATGGGTACAATGTGTGAGGCCCATTTCTGGTGTCCCCCGCGGTGATATTGCTGGAATATTGCTAAAAGCTGCGTAAAAACATAATCACTCACTAATATGATAATGGGATTGAAACACGAATCCATGCTTTCAAGGGACATAGCTCTGCCTATATACAACAACCCATCGATGGGTAACGCATGTCTATTGACTGCAGCAATTCATGGACATTTCTAGGGCAACAAATCCAAATTCAAAATCCGGTTTTACTTGAAGCGTTCATAAAATCAGTCAATTTCTGTCTGCTCTGTGCAGGGGCAGTGGGGTAGCCTAATGGTTAAAGCGTCCACTCGTCACGTTGAAAACCCAGGTTCAGTCGTGATATTGCTGGGGTAAAACCATTTTCACTCACTCAGTCTTGAAGATACATAATTATTATAAATCTGAAAAAAACTAGTTTCTGTTAGTTTTGTGGTTTAGCTGCCATTCAAATCACGTCTTTTGAAGTCATAGAATATTTTGCCGACTGTTCAGGCGAGCGTGGAGCAGCCTCTATCGTCGATGCGTCGTTGCTGAGTCCTGAAGAGAAGGTGGCGTTTGAACAAGGGGATGCCGTCCACCATTTCAATGAGTTTGTTAGCGACAAGATCTCCCTGGAGAGAGCGGTGCCCGATTTCAGGAATCCAGAGTAAGTAGACTATTGCATTACGGTTGATTCCGTGGGAACCAAATATATTTATGCCAGAAATTTTACAGACTTTGCTACATAAATTTCGGAAGTGAAATTATGGTCAAAATATAACCTCATTTTGACTAAACATAAGTCGCTTTGGTTTATTTGTGGGAAACCAACTAGCGTCATGTTTTGTACAAGTACCGTCTTTGGTAAGACGACGTGGGATCGAACAACCGATCTTCCGCCCTCCGGCAGACGCCTTATCCACTAGACTACAGAAACGGTGTGAACGATGTAGCCCAATTTTTTTCTAAATATCTTTTGGTGGTGGTTTGGGGTTTTTTGTGTGCGTGTTTTTTTCTTGTTGTTTTTTCTGCATTTCCCGAGACAAGGTGTTTTGTTGCAAATCTTGGGCGGTAGGGTAGCCTAGTCGTTGAAGCGTTCGCTCGTCACGTTGAAGACCTTTTGAAGACCTGCTTCCACAAAGCGCTAAGATGATCGTAACTCCCATGCTTTAAGTTTAACATAGACTTACGACAGTCGTAGCGCTACGATCGTGTTGTTGAATGGGCCCCGGGTTCGATTCCCTACATGGGTACAATGTGTGATCCCACTTGTGATGTCCCCCGTCGTGACATTGCTGGAATAACGCTAAAAGCTGCGTAAAACTAAACTCACTCATTGTTAAAGATCAAAATATATTTTTCAAATACTCAAAACAATTCTCTATAGGATGCGGGTAGTTATATGATTGTATTATCAAAGCTATGTTTTGAGTTACCAAGATCAGGTTTTGTGACGTGGCTGGCTAACTAACCCATGGATGCACAATGTGTTTTGACGCTAATATCAGTGGACATATAGTATGACCAGAAATTATTGCGAATTTTAGGAATATGTTTAATTGGATTTCTAGTATAAAACAACCTTGACCAGCTATCAAGTGCTTGGTTTCATTCAAGAGAGACAACTCCGTTAATTCTTTTCATTAGTTTGTGAAGCGTTATCCTCCTTTGTTTACTTGCTAGCAGACGACATTTTCAGTGATCCTCACTATGGATGATTTAGAGAAGAGGAAGTTGATTTTAAAACATTATAGCAAGGATATCAGATCAGCTAAAGTGATTTCAAGCAGAACAGGCATCCCTTTGTCCACTGTTTATCGTGTTTTGAAAAATTGCAAATGGATGGCATTGAGCACCAGGGAGGCGCAGGTAGGCCCAGAAAATTGACTGTCGGTGACAGGAGGCGGCTTGGTAGTCTTGTTTCTAAAAACAAACGAAGCAGTTTAGAAAACTTAAGGCTGGATATGATTGATAGAGGAACTGTGGCTGTCTGTAAAGGAGACAATTAGAACTGAGCTGCATGCAATGGGTTGGCAGAAAAGTCGAGGAATTCCATCACCGATCATGAAACCTGAAAAAGGAACGAAGGTTGAACTGGTGCTTGCAGAATAGAAATTTTAACTGGGACAATGTGATTTTCTCAGATGAATGTTCTGTGTGGCTGTCTCCTAATACACTGAAATTCTGGACCAAACAAACAGGAAAACCTTTGTATCAGCGCCCAAAGTACAGTCCGAAATTTAACGTGTGGGGCTGCATATCTGTGTAAGGGGCAACGCCCCTCTGTGTATTTGAAGGGAATATGAACAGTGAGCGGTACACAGATATTCTCGAGGGACATTTACTTCCATCTGCTCACGTGTTCTATGGAAATTTTGGATTTTCCAGCAGGACAACGACCCAAAACATCGTTCAAAGCATTCACAGGCCTGGTTTCGGACCCAAAATATGACATTATTAGATTGGCCAAGCTACAGCCCTGACCTAAGTCCAATAGAAAATGTTTGGGGACTTATGAAGGAAAGTGTCAATAAGAAAAATCTGACAAATATTGCTGAAATGAAAGAAGAGGTGGTCCGATATTGGGACAGCATGGTCCACGACTTTCTAACTTCTTTGATCAGTAGTATGCCCCGCCGCATTGAAGCCTACATTACAGCCCATGGTGACTTGACAAAATACTAACTGTTCACCTGTCTTTGAATCTGGAGTTATGTTCTGCTAATATTCACATTTAAAACGTGAGTAATGGGTGAAAAAATATAAAAAGTTACAATCTTTAAATTCTCAATAATGGTTGTACTGGACATAATACATTCTATAACATTTGAATGGTACAGTATATTATCACGTTAGAGGACTCAACCATGCGTCTGGTCCAGACTCGATTATTTTCCATCTGTCGTCGAATTGCTGGCATTTTGACGTAAGACAACATTCACGTGATTTTACAATGTCTAAATTAAGGCACAAATATTATTTCCAAAATCAACCCCCATACGTTTCCGACTCCAGAGGGGCGGTGGGGTAGCCTAATGGTTAAAGCGTTGGCTCGTCACGCCGAAGACCGGGTTCGATTCCCCACATGGGCACAATGTGTGAAACCCATTTCTGGTGTCCCCCGTCGTGATATTGCTGGAATATTTCTAAAGCGACGTAAAACCCAACTCACTCACTCACTCCGACTCCAGAGAGTGATGACACCGGGTGTTCGCGAAAGGTTACCCTATACTGAGTGGCCGATGAGCTACGTTAACATGGTTTTACGCAGCTTTGATATTCCAGCAATATCACAACAGGGGAAACTAGAAATTGGCCTGACACATTGTATCCATGTGGGGAATAAAACCTGGGTCTTCGGTTGGTTGGTTTGTTGTTTAACGCCGCACCAAGCAATAATCCTGCTATATGGCGGCGGTCTGTAAATAATCTAGTTTGGATCAGACAATCAAGTGATCAACAGTAGGAACATCGATCCAAGCAATCTGTCAACCATATGTCAACCATCTGTCAACTACGTTAACGAGCCAGGGCCCTTATTCTCGAAACGTTCGTAGCCCTAAGAATTCGTAATTTTGATCGTAGCCAATGTATTAAGAATGGGCTCAAGAAGTTCGTAGGGCTACGAACATTCGAGAATAGCTAGCCTGGCCATCAGATCCGGTTAGTCGACTTTAACGAGAAGCATGGGCTGCTGAAGATAAGTTCTAAACCTGATATTCTCGGGTTCCGGGCGTGACGAACAAACACTTTAACCATTACCCCTTTCAGAACTCTCAAGATACAAAACGTATTCACCTTAGGAGGGTCATCTCTTTCTTTGCATCTTGGTTTTCCTTTGTGTTCCAGATGCCAAGCTGCCTTCCAGTTCTACCCCAAAGACCTACCGTCCGTATCGGTGGTCATCTGCTTTTATAATGAGGCATGGTCAACACTTCTCCGGACAATCCACTCTGTATTGAACAGGACCCCTGAAAACCTCCTGGAGGAGATTCTACTGGTGGACGATGGATCGAACTTAGGTGAGAGGAGAATGAAACTAAAGATAGAAATCAAGGGCTCATTACGAGTGCTATCTTGTCACAAAAAGAGGCACACATTATAATGTTGTTTCGTTTCTTCAGGGGACCTGGGCGAGCCGCTTGACGAGTACACGGCCGCCATGCCGAAAGTGCACGTGATCCGGACCAATCAGAGACTGGGCTTGGTGAGAGCCCGGATGGAGGGTATCAAATTTGCCAGAGCCCCCGTGTTGGTGTTCCTCGACTCTCACTGCGAATGTGGTTATGGTAGGTAGATGGAAGGAAATTTAGAACGACAACGAATTAATATTGTCCTCATTTACTGAAAATCAGTAAAGTTTTGTCACTTATTTGTGATGGATATTCGGTCTATTCGGTCTATGAAGCATAAACGGATAATATTGGCTTGGTAAGCCGATCGAATATTATGAACTGACTAGCATTTTGGTTTAATATTTTGGGTACAATACGTTTCTCTGTCACTTGCGTCATGGGGAAAGGCTTGTATTCAATCCCATACCAACCCCCACCCATTCCTGCCCTCCCACCCCCATTCCCTAATCCCAACTCCCAATCGCAAGTGTTCACCAAGAATTTAATCATGTTTTGTCTTACACAGGGTGGTTAGAGCCTCTGTTAGTCCCCATCAAAGACAACCCCTCTACCGTTGTCACCCCAACCATCGACGTCATCGACAAGGACGACTTCCGCATCAACAACGCGGACAACAACATCGGCGGCTTCAGTGCAGAGTCTATGACGTTCAACTGGATTTCAGTGCCGCCCAGAATCAACCGCTACAGGACAACAATGGCGGACCCGTTTGTGTACGTTGTGCTTCCCACGTAGGGCTTTCGGGGTAGAAATATATTTTATGATTGCTACCCCTGGATTGAATTGGTGATTCTGTTGAATGCGTGCCATTATTCATTACAACAATCGGGGCGATGGGGTAGCCTAGTTGTTAAAGCGTTCGCTCGTCACGCCGAAGGCCCGGATTCGATTCCCCACATGGGTACAATTTGTGATGCCCATTTCTGGAGTCCCCGCCGTGATTTTCTGGAATATTGCTAGAAAAGGCGTAGTCACTACTCAATCACTGCCGGGTTCAGACCCATTCGTAATTCTACCATGACTCAGTAAATACAGGAACTAGTTAATTAAAGTCATTGAATATAATGCATTATATTTAAAACAGTAGTATTTTTATATCTAAATAAATGGTAGAATGAAGATGAACATATTGTGTTGGAAAATCAGAGGTATATAACAAAATTATAAAAGCTCTAAATATGATTAAAACCGAACGCGTAGAAGATCACAGTTTTAAATCAAATTTAGAGCTATTATAATTTCGTTATATACCTCTGATTTTCCTACACAGAAGTCTTCTCCACGTTGTGATTGGTCTATGAATGCACGCATCGAGTTCATGTAACGATATATCGAACACTCACTTTGTATTGATCTTCTATAGTTGTAAAACTCTCTATCAATTCACTGTGCAGAGTTATGTCCCTTGTACACGCCAGTAACCTGTGATCTGGGTTTGCGTTAGGTTATACTTATTTTGTATCTAGGTTTGTCAGCACTAGCTACATGGTGCTCGCGGGTTTTACGTAGAGGGGGTCGAGTAACTCTCCATTCCGCGGGTTTCTAAGGAATAGAAGAGGATATAACCCTACTTAAATTACATTCGAAGTATTGGGAAAATTGCTGTTATCAAAATTAAATGTCAAAATGACAAAATGAATGTTTTATTTTGAAACTGGTACACATCGCTCCATTCCAAGTCAGTTCACACGAAGCTGACCCTCCATGATATAACAAGAATACCCTTAGAAGCGGAGTTAAACCCACCCCGGTCACTCGGTCACTTTCCCATCCATCCACCCACCAACCTAGCCACTCACTCGATCACTTTTCACTTGTTAAACCCCCGCCATACAGCTGGAATATTGCTGAGACTAGAATTTCAATCACATAAACTCACTCACTTGTTAAACAGTTCATTAAAAGAAATCCAAAGAACAAGTGATTGTTAAGGTTTTGTCTTTTTAATGTTTTCTTTGTCATTGTCACTATCACAGTTTGTAAAATATTCACGACTTTGTGTTACGTCCACAGCTCCCCGACGTTAGCAGGTGGACTGTTCGCCATAAACAAGGATTACTTCAGCAGCATAGGGATGTACGACACTGGTCTGGAGGTGTGGGGAGGGGAGAACCTGGAGCTGTCACTCAAGGTAATACTGGGTGTGGGGAGGGGAGAACCTGGAGCTGTCACTCAAGGTAATACTGGGTGTGGGGAGGGGAGAACCTGGAGCTGTCACTCAAGGTAATACTGGGTGTGGGGAGGGGAGAACCTGGAGCTGTCACTCAAGGTAATACTGGGTGTGGGGATGGGAGAACCTGGAGCTGTCACCAAGGTAATACTGGGTGTGGGGGGGGGAGGAACCTGAGCTGTCACCAAGGTAATACTGGGTGTGGGGAGGGGAGGAAGCTGTCACTCAAGGTAATACTGGGTGTGGGGGAGGGAGAACCTGGAGCTGTCACTCAAGGTAATACTGGGGTATGGGGAGGGAGAACCTGGAGCTGTCACTCAAGGTAATACTGGGTGTGGGAAGGGGGAGAATCTGGAGCTGTCACTCAAGGTAATACTGGGTGTGGGGAGGAGGGAGAACCTGGAGGTGTCACTCAAGGTAATACTGGGTGTGGGAAGGGAGAACCTGGAGGTGTCACTCAAGGTAATACTGGGTGTGGGGAGTGGGAGAACCTGGAGCTGTCACTCAAAGGTAATACTGGGTGTGGGGAGGGAGAACCTGGAGCTGTCACTCAAAGGTAATACTGGGTGTGGGGAAGGGGAGAACCTGGAGCTGTCACTCAAGGTAATACTGGGTATGGGAAGGGGAGAACCTGGAGCTGTCACTCAAAGGTAATACTGGGTGTGGGTATGTACTGGGTGTGGGAGGGAGAACCTGGAGGTGTCACTCAAAGGTAATACTGGGTGTTGGGAGGGAGAAGCTGAGCTGTCAAGGTAATACTGGGTGTGGGAGGGGAGAACCTGGAGCTGTCACTCAAGGTAATACTGGGTGTGGGAAGGGGAGAACCTGGAGCTGTCACTCAAGGTAATACTGGTGTGGGGAGGGGGAGGGAGAACCTGGAGGTGTCACTCAAGGTAATACTGGGTGTGGGAGGGAGGGAGAACCTGGAGCTGTCACTCAAAGGTAATACTGGGTATGGGAAGGAGGGAGAACCTGGAGCTGTCACCAAGGTAATACTGGGTGTAGGGAGGGAGAACCTGGAGCTGTCACTCAAGGTAATACTGGGTGTGGGGGAGGGAGAACCTGGAGCTGTCACTCAAGGTAATACTGGGTGTGGGGGAGGGAGAACCTGGAGCTGTCACTCAAGGTAATACTGGGTGTGGGGAAGGGAGAACCTGGAGCTGTCACTCAAGGTAATACTGGGTGTGGGGAGGGAGAACCTGGAGCTGTCACTCAAGGTAATACTGGGTGTGAGGAGGGGAGAACCTGGAGCTGTCACTCAAAGGTAATACTGGGTGTGGGGAAGGGAGAACCTGGAGCTGTCACTCAAGGTAATACTGGGCGTAGGGAGGGGAGTACCTGGAGCTGTCACTCAAAGGTAATACTGGGTGTGGGGAGGGGAGAACCTCGAGCTGTCACTCAAGGTAATACTGGGTGTTGGGAGGGAGGAAGCTGTCACTCAAAGTAATACTGGGTGTGGGGAGGGAGGAAGCTGTCACTCAAGGTAATACTGGGTGTTGGGAGGGAGGAAGCTGTCACTCAAAGGTAATACTGGGCGTAGGGGAGGGAGGACCTGGAGCTGTCACTCAAAAGGTAATACTGGGTGTGGGGGAGGGAGAACCTGGAGCTGTCACTCAAGGTAATACTGGGTGTGGGGGGGGGGAGAACCTGGAGCTGTCACTCAAAGGTAATACTGGGCGTGGGGGGGGGAGTACCTGGAGCTGTCACTCAAAGGTAATACTGGGTGTGGGAGGGGAGAACCTCGAGCTGTCACTCAAAGGTAATACTGGGTGTTGGGAGGGGAGGAAGCTGTCACTCAAAGTAATACTGGGTGTGGGGAGGGAGAACCTGGAGCTGTCACTCAAAGGTAATACTGGGTGTGTGGGAAGGGGAGAACCTGGAGCTGTCACTCAAGGTAATACTGGGTGTGGGGGAGGGAGGGGGAGAACCTGGAGGTGTCACTCAAGGTAATACTGGGTGTGGGAGGGGAGAACCTGGAGCTGTCACTCAAAGGTAATACTGGGTGTGGGGGGAGAACCTGGAGCTGTCACTCAAGGTAATACTGGGTGTGGGGAGGGGAGAACCTGGAGCTGTCACTCAAGGTAATACTGGGTGTGGGGAAGGGAGAACCTGGAGCTGTCACTCAAGGTAATACTGGGTGTGGGGAGGGGAGAACCTGGAGCTGTCACTCAAGGTAATACTGGGTGTGGGGAGGGGGAGAACCTGGAGGTGTCACTCAAGGTAATACTGGGTGTGGGGAGGGAGTACCTGGAGGTGTCACTCAAGGTAATACTGGGTGTGGGGAGGGAGGGAGAACCTGGAGGTGTCACTCAAGGTAATACTGGATGTGGGGGAGGGGAGAACCTAGAGCTGTCACTCAAGGTAATACTGGGTGTGGGGAGGGAGAATCTGGAGCTGTCACTCAAAGGTAATACTGGGCATGGGGAGGGGAGTACCTGGAGCTGTCACTCAAGGTAATACTGGGTGGAGTTGGGAGGGAGAACCTGGAGGTGTCACTCAAAGGTAATACTGGGGTGTGGGGAGGGAGGAAGTTGTCACTCAAGGTAATACTGGGTGTGGGGAGGGAGGAAGCTGTCACTCAAGGTAATACTGGGTGTGGGGAGGGAGGAAGCTGTCACTCAAGGTAATACTGGGTGTGGGAGGGAGGGAAGCTGTCACTCAAGGTAATACTGGGTGTGGGGAGGGAGGAAGCTGTCACTCAAGGTAATACTGGGTGTGGGGAGGGAGGAAGCTGTCACTCAAGGTAACACTGGGTGTGGGGAGGGAGAACCTGGAGCTGTCACTCAAGAAGCTGTAATGCTGGGTGTGGGGAGGGAGGATGCTGTCACTCAATGTAATGCTAGGTGGGTGTGGGGAAGGGGTGAACCTGGAGCTGTCACTCAAGTTAATACTTTGTGGGATGATGAGGGCAAGGATTCATATTCACTGAAGGAGAGGACTGGGCCTGAAAATAATTACGCCTGTTCTGGTGGTGTTTCTTCAGACAATCGTAAGTATCTAAGTCGAAATCAAGAAACCCCAGTAGGGCTATTCGTCCTGAACAAAACACATCAGTCGTTGTCGTCACATGTTATAACATCAAATGTTATTACAAAATACACTCTCACTCTCCCCAGCTGTGGATGTGCGGCGGCAAGATCCTCATCAGCCCATGTTCCAGAGTGGGCCATATATTTCGCCTCAAGTCCCCATACGTCAACGTGGGAGACACGTTCCTGTCCAAGAACGCAGCGCGCGTGGCGGAGGTGTGGCTGGACGAGTACAAGTGGTTCCACTTCAAGAGCAACCCTTTCTCACCGGTATATGATTATATTCTTTAACATAACACAATAGACGAAACATTGCATTTCAGCTGTGGTGAATCATCTGCGAATTAATTTCAAATTTCAGTGCTCTAACTCGTTCATTAAATTGACTGCCTGTCCAAAGAAACTGTACGCTTGGAAACTGTATGTGACCAATAGCTTACAAATGTCATCAAAATGTTTCTAGACGTCGACTTCAGAACCAGAACACGTCTATGACATTATATCTGTATCAAATACGCCACTATCGAATAACCATTTCTTGTTTTGATATTTACCATTCAAAAAAAAGTTGGGGATATTCCATTTTGCGAGCATACCACTAGCCCCTGCAAATGCATATGAGAAAAGGTAGTATATGGCAATACAGATGAAACATTTCCAAAGGAATGGAATAAATTGTCACATTTTCCCTTAATTTCTCTTCATCATCTGTTTCCTCCTTGGCGTCATCATTGGCATTTTATCATTCTTGTAATTCCAATATCCCCTACGTTTTTTAATGGTTTATTTTAGCCAACACCAAATATGAGTGTATACTTTCTTTTGACCGTCAGTTCATTACTGTTTCTCTGTTCCGGACGGATTCAATGAATAACAAGCCATGACGTAATTGTATCGCCTTGCTGTTACCTCATCCCGGCGTGATATCCAGATATTTCTTTAAGGCTTTGCAAAAGGAAATCCTAATTCCTGAAGAGCAGGGGCAGTGGGGTAGCCTAGTGGTCAACGCGTTTGTTCGTCACGCCGAAGACCCGGGTTCGATCCCCCATGTTGGTACAATGTATGAAGCCCATTTCTGGTGTCCCCAGCCGTGATGTTGCTGGAATATTGCTAAAAGCGGCGTAAAGCTAAACTCACTCACTCACTCCTAAAGAGCATGATAACTGCCAGCGCAACGCCGAGGCGCATCGGTTGTATCGAAAGGGGTGGATTTCCACGATGTTTTTGATAGTGATGGTTTGCTGCAGATGTTTCTCTGTAATCCTCAATGTGACACCTTGTACATCCACAGGCCAACTACGGCGACATCACGTCGGCAAAGAAGTTACGTAGCGAACTCAAGTGTAAGCACTTTGACTGGTATCTGGAGAACATCTACCCCGAGTTGTTCATTTCCGGTTCCGGTGACCACTTTGGGCAGGTAAGAAGAATTAGGTTGTGTCGAAACTCCTCCACAGGGCTCCATTGTCCGACGTATATCACTGACTCACGACCAACCTACGCCCTCTTTAGTTTAAGGTAGACTAATAAGAAAAAGGCAATAACTATAAACCCGTGAAGCTTGGCGTAAGTGTTTTCAAATTGCTAGGTTGTGTTGTTGTTGTTTTTTGGGGGGTTTGGTCTCTTTTTGTTGTTGTTTTCCGAATCACACGTTCGGCAATGGCCTTCAAGCCTGGACACCTGTTACCTCCATTCGTAACTATTCGCCTCTTTCCGTAACCTACAATCGGAATGCCGGAATGACACAAGTAGTTACGAATGTCGCTACCCCCGCACGCCATGGTAATGGACACGGGATTTAACAATAACATTTCAGTAACGGAAAATGTAGAAAATTGACAAATTTAACGGTGGTCAAGAAATATTATGACATAAACCGTAGTGTCATGTAATTGGTAGCGCTTTGATTGACATAATGGAAAGCCTACAATGAAGTGTCTGTCAACCTGTATACTTTCTTCTACAGATTTCTCATGTAGGAACGGGCTTGTGCCTGTCTTCTCCGCAATGGGAGCAGCCATTAGTGATGCTCAATTGTGGTACTGGGGTAAGTCTGACGTCACTTCCGCTTATTTCATGTTTTCAAATTGAACAATAAATAATTACCTTTACCTTTATGATAATTGTGATCGGAAACTCTGAAACTTTTCTGTATGCAGACAATCTGGGAATCTGACAAGATGCTGGAGATCCGCCATAATTTCTACTGTGTGGACTTCTACCCTGGCGTGCACCACGCGCCGTATGCCATTCCGTGCAAGTCAGAGCAGACGACACAAGTGTGGACATTCAAAAAGGTATGAATGTATATCATTAACGCCACAACAAACGCACGCGCACGCACGCACATACAAACACAGAGAGAGACACACACACACACAGAGGTGTCTTACCATTCCGCCACATTCACGCTCACACACGCACGCACGCACGCACACTATATAAGCTGGATTATTGTTAAACACATTTCCCTGATGTAAGGAAGTTAACCGAATATAAACATCTAATATGTTATATTTGGGATTACAATTTCTTAGTGAAGTACAGATTCTAGTACTTTTGTTGGGTTGAGTCCCATCCGGGATTCGAACCCACACCCTCAGAGTCAGGCACCTAATCGCCAGCACACAAAGTCAGCCGCCTAACCCGCTCAGCCACCGCGGCTCGCCGTGACCAAATGCCATTATTATTATTCAAAGTTGTAAACTTGTATCATCAGGGTCCTCCTTATGCTTAAGGGACACGGCCCTGGGCCCGTTTCACAAAGCTATCGTAGCGCTACGACTGTCGTTCCTCCTATACAGCAATACACACTTACGACAGTCGTAGCGCTACGAGAGCTTTGTGAAACGGGTCCCAGTCGTTTAAGCCGCGGATATTCGATATGCAGGGTTGCTTCCCTTGAGAAATCCAGAATCATATGACTGTTCGTTTTTGAATACTGGTTCGCCTGGATTGTTACTAGGTTATCTAGCGCCTTACCCCTGCTGTTCTAAGCCTGGTGAAACTCACTCACTCACTCACGCACGCACGTTATTTTCGTTGCTACTCTTGTCTTTTCGCAGTTCTTTGTTTTTTCGCGGAAAGACACGCGTAGGTACGAATGTGCATATATCTCCCGGGTGATAAACTCACTCAGTCACTCACTCACTCTAGATAACTGAATGTGTCTAACATTGCCGGGTACTGTTTGACCAACAGGCCGAGGGTCAGATCATCCACCAGATGACCAACTCATGTCTGACAGTGAAGGACCCGAAAGTCATCACCCTGGAGCCGTGTGTCCCTGATGACGTCTCCCAGAAGTGGAGCTGGCCAACAAATCCCCATTTCCAGTTTAACAGAACAGCTGCTGCAGAAATGGCGAAAGAGGCAGGCTGGTGAAGCACTCGGCACACATCGGTAGAGTTCGTGAATGATCAGTTACGTCACAAACAGAAATTGTAATGGTTTTTTGAGAGACAGTACATTGAGTGCAATCTCTGGTTCAAGGTACGAAGTGCTGATTGTATTAACAAATGTCCTGTTACCCCATGCTTCAGGAGTTATTTTCGTTGCTACTCGTGTCTTTCCGCAGTCCTTCGGTTTTTCACGGAATGACACGAGCAGGTACGAATGTCGGATGATAAATAAGGTCGGTAAAAATTATACATATTTTGTTACCTATTGTAGATTATGACACATTCGTTGGTCTACTGAGCCCAATACTCCTTGTGACGCTTCTTTTTTTTTATTAAAATATAAAACGAAATGGTTGGGGTTAGAGGTTGCTGGGGGCTGGATCCCCTACTCCTTCAGGTCTGCATAATAACGTAATACATCCATACGATAACCAGCAGTACAATAGTGACAGCGAGATCATACAATAACGACCAATCGTACAATAGAGACAGCGATATCATACAATAACGACCAACCGTACAATAGAGACAGCGAGATCATACAATAACGACAAATCATGCCATAGATAGCGGGATTATACAAAACGACCAGTTGGGCAACAGAGACAGCGAGACCATGCAAAAACGACCAACTGTACAATAGAGACGCGAGATCATACAATAACGACCAACTGTACAATAGAGACAGCGAGATCATACAATAACGACCAACTGTACAATAGAGACAGCGAGATCATACAATAACGACCAACTGTACAATAGAGACAGCGAGATCATACAATAACGACCAACTGTACAATAGAGACAGCGAGATCATACAATAACGACCAACTGTACAATAGAGACAGCGAGATCATACAATAACGACCATTCGTACAATAGAGACAGCGAGATAATACAATAACGACCAACCGTACAATAGAGACAGCGAGATCATACAATAACGACCAACTGTACAAAAGACACAGCGAGATCATACAATAACAACCAATCGTACAATAGAGACAGCGAGATCATACAATAACGACTAATCGTACAATAGAGACAGCGAGATCATACAATAACGACCAATCGTACAATAGAGACAGCAAGATCATACAATAACAACCAATCGTACAATAGAGACAGCGAGATCATACAATAACGACCAATCGTACAAAGACACAGCTAGATCATACAATAACGACCAACTGTACAATAAAGACAGCGAGATCATACAATAAAGACCAGCCGTACAATAGAGACCGCGAGATCATTCAATAACGACCAATCGTACAATAGAGACAGCGAGATCACACAATAACAACCAATCGTACAATAGAGACAGCGATATCATACAATAACGACCAACTGACGAATCATACAATAGGCAGTGCCCTAAACATCACCAGGAGTAATTATATAGATGTGAACCTTTCGTTAATAACTGTCTTTAACACAAAGACGTCACACTAAACACACACAAGTCCAATCATGTGCAAGAAAACCACAATAGGGTGAAATATACTTCAGCTGCCTTGAATATTTATTTGTATAGCTGTGCCAGCGTCTTTCCGAGCGTGTTGGGGTGTGTATTAAGCATATTAATGACGTCTAGACCAATGGGGTGTATATCATGTGAGGGACGTCTACACGAGTGTATTTGGGGCGTGTATGAGGGACTGGAATTTAATCAAAAGTATTTCGACATTATGTGTTTTGAATTATTTATGTCACAGTGAAACATACCTATTTTAGGTAGACGTTTTTCGTTTACGTTACTGTCACCCCAGACTCAGGCCAGTAGGTCGAGGTGAAAGTATATTTCCATTTTAAATTATAATTGATTTATAAGAAAAACATGTTGTGGGGAGGAGGGAAGTGAGGATGGGTTAAAATAGGGAAATATACAACAAGAAATAATGACATGTTGGGATGACTACAGTTAATTTGTTTTCTTTAATTGTTTTAATATTTATTTGCTGTCAGGGGAATAAAAACACCGAGACGGCTTTTCAAATAAAACTTGTTCGGAGGCCACGGACTTTACAGAGCAAGTATTAAAAAAGTCTGACCTTATTTTGAAATTATACCCTTTACATTTCGCTTTGTGTTTGACCATGGAATGTATCGTCTAACTTGTGTATATATCTAGTTACGAGCTAATTTCCTTGAGTTCAGAAGTACTAACAAAGCTAGAATCAACAACGTCATAATCAAAATCCTGCTTTATGTTTCCACCTGTGTGCAAGTGTCAATCAAAGCAAAAAATATATATGTTATTTATGTTTTTTATACAAATGTCAGTATAACCTTCCTGACAGCTGGTAGCAATGGGTAACAACATGACAGGGTCTGAAGTGTCATATTAAGTTGGTGCGGGTAACATCATCCTCGGTTTTCTGCAATATCTGTGTTGTGTTGTTTATTGGGGCGGTGGGGTAGCCTAGTGGTTAAAGCGTTGGCTCGTCACGCTGAAAACCCGGGTTCGATTCCCCACATGGGCACAATGTGTGCGGCCCATTTCTGGTGTCCACAGCCGTGATATTCCTGGAATATTGCTAAACGCGGCGTAAAACCATACTCTCTCACTCACTGACTCACTCACGTTGTGTTGTTTATCACTACAGAATAGAAATACACCCTTGCACACCGAGGATGACACCATAAACACACATGTCGTATGTCCTGTATGACGAATCATTCCGACTATAAGTGCTGAGGTAGGGCCATGTCTAAGATTAACATAGCCTGACGTCTAGTCTCTGAAATTAACATTTGTTTTTGGAAGAGGCGACTAACGGGATCGGGTGGTCAGGCTTGCTGGCTTGGTTGATACATGTCTTCGTATCCCAATTGCGCAGATCGATGCTCATGCTGTTGATCACTGGATTGTCTGGCCCAGACCCGATTATCTACAGACTTCCGTCGTATAGCTGGAATATGTCTGAATGCTTACAGTTTAGTAAGTGAATGGAAGTTTTAAACAATTAACTGTCCGGCTGTAAATACATCAGAGACGATACGTTTAGTCTGTACCAATTTTTCGCAAATGTCTTTCACACCAACACGTAAATGAGTTTCGATGTATTTTCCCCGACATAATCGATAAAAGATGGGCGGCGGGGTAGCCTAGTGGTTAAAGCGTTCGCTCCTTACGCCTAAGACCAGGCCAAGGTTACAATGAATGAAGCCAATTGCTGGTGTCCCCCGCCGTGATATTGCATAAATATTGCTAAAAGCGGCATAGAACCATGTTCACTAACTCACTCACTCGACCAGCCCAGATTGCTAGGGACCATGTCAAACGAGAAGAATATGGACCTTGTCTGTAAATAGACAAGTCAATATTGTTCTGTCAGAACAGAGGAAATACGGTATAGGGTAATATTAGCCTTACGATGGAGCTTCACATTTCAACACGTTTTGTCCACAGCTTGGTGATCCATGTGCAGTGAAGATACACATCACGTCCTCATAGTTAATCCACAGAGGTCGACCCACTGTAGATTCCATACGTATTGTTTTCTGTTTGTAAACGAGCTATTTTGTATGGATAGATGTGTAGTCTATCTATGCATTCAGACGCATGTTTTTGTTTGTTTGAAAAGGCTCAATCAGGAAAGATCAACTGACAATTTGATAATTAGAAAGTCGTTTATCATATTGACATGGTGGCCCATATGGTCCAATAGGTGAATTCCTTTGTCAATTGGTACCTCGTTATAAGGACATTTTAAAACCGGCTCGTTTTGATGTTGAACTATTTTGTTTGTTACAGATGTACGTGTAACTATAGAATGTGTTCGCCCTGAGATTGGGTTAGGTCAGGGGCGAAATATCCACAAAGGTTCCCAGATGTGTTACATTGATGTGTCCTCATGCAAGCCATCATAATGGCGTGTTGATGTCATGAATAGAGAGGGTGCCTTATATCGAGGGAGTAGTCATTTAGTATATGGTCAAAAGGATAGCCGATCGAAAATCAAGGAATATATTATCCTAGCACGCATGTGTTTGAAACGTGTAACAAATTGAATATTTAAGTAAGAATGAGTTGTCATTTGTCAATTCAGTATCTGGCATGTTGATGTCATGAATAGAGATGGTGCGTTATAACGAGGGAGTAGTCATTTAGTATATGATCAAAAGGATAGCCGATCGGAAATCAAGGGATGTTATCCTAGCACACATGTGTTTGAAACGTGTAACAAATTGAATATTTAAGTAAGAATGAGGTGTCATTTGTCAATTCAATTTATGACGTCACGGAATAATCTTGAATTTTATTTAACTCGCTGAATCAAGAAAAATGCTGCCAGCGTGTGTTATTATTGATAGGCGGGTGATAATCTTTTGCTTTTCGGGAAAAATACATCCAGAGCTCTCAACCCGATTAATAAGTGACTGGTCCTTAGTTGTGTCTGTACATCATTATACTCTATTGCCTATTGACCTGTGTTAGCCACGCTATAGCGAGGAAATGTTGAGAAGGCGCATGATGTCGTTAATGATTGACACATAAGTTATTGACATGTTAATCTGGATTGGGACAAATGTGTTTTAGGGACTGATTTAACATTTTCCGCAACGTTTACAATACCAATCAATTATATCTATTTTCCTAAATTTACATTTTTTAAAATTTAGAAACAGATTTTTTTTTTAAACTTTGAAACAAATTTGTAACGGAATTGGGTATACCGATGGCTTTCAAGAGGTTAATGAAAAGCATTTTCATTTTCTCAACCACAATCACATGTTTGGGTGTTAATACGAATTACACGACAAAAATCCGACTCGAGTGAGTCTTTATTCATGTAATCGACTTTGAGAAGTTTTTTCATGACAATAATTCTTTGAAGACTGCGAATTGAAGATAGAATTGTATTTATGGTATTGAGTAAAGTCATGTGTTTCAATTTGATTAACGCCATTTACAAGCAGATATTAATCATATTATTCGTCTGATGTCCCACCCATCCAGGGTATAAAAGCTCATGAGCAAGAATTTTAAATCAAAAGGAATTACTACGTTTATTACATCTGAGTTACTTTCAGCAGAACCGCTGTCATACATTAGCAATTTGTACGTTTTGGCGAGTTTGCTGACTTGAGTGTTGACTAATATATCCTGATACAGGGTTGATTTTGTCCGGATTTACAAGGTGCCAAGAAAACGAGGTTCTACTTTCCACAAACATCCGTGGGACCGAACAGAAGTCTGTTGGTAACATGAATTAGTATTGTTTTATGTGCCATAATGACTAGGACTGCAACGATTCGGTTCGATTCATCGAAAATAAATCTGACACTTTCGATTTTCGATAACCATTATCACTATTTCGATTCAATATTTGAATACCTTTTTAAATTATTTCCACACAACCAGGACGTAATTTTGACTCCAACTCGAGCAGTTTCGAGGGCTGAAATAAGGCGAAACGTGATTGGTTGACGCCGGGCTAATTATCCGGTGAGAATTGTTGTTAACAGACATCACCAAGTTGACGATGGATTTCACGCTTAAAAAACGCCGACTCTGAGAGTTAAATGAAATCTGATGTTTTTACTTGTTTTAAGAATCGAACCGAAATGATCGAATCGAGGGCCCAATATCGAAAATCGAATCGAATCGAGGTCTGGGTTAATCGTTGCAGCCCTAAATTAATGACTCCTGAAATGGATTGGGAGTTCGTTCCACAACTCGATCGTGTCGCTATAGACTGATCATGATCGCATACTTTAACATTGACTTCTTCAAACGTTTTTTGTAAAGGTGTTCTCATTGTTTGTCTCAACCTACTTTTTTATGCTAAACGTTGGACAACTGACAAAGCATCTGAAAAAAGTAATGAAAAACTAGTTCATGGTCATGTAAAACAGATGTCTGAAGTTTTCTTCGACTAACATCTCTGATATGAACATATTTTACAGTAAACAATAGTTTCTAAATTAAAATAAAATATAAAAAAATGGAGCCAAGAGAGACTTTCTTCATTTTCTGAAACTGTGGTAAGTTAGACTTGTCACACATTGCATGGGCTGCATGGGGTATATTTGTTTCAGGGTCTGTATGACAGACTAAACTTTCTGCACCTATAAAGGTGGCGTCAGTGTTCTTTATACATTGTCGTTTATATTTATCATGAATTAATGGATTATATTCGTTATTTGTACAGTTATATCTTTGAGGGAAATATGTTGTTGGGAAAGTAGTATTGTTAGAGTGAGCGGTATGCATTGTCTTTATGCAAGCTGAAATAAATTATTTTTCACAGAATGGATTTTGTCATAAATGACTGACTCTTCTTGTCAAGCACGACTTTACAATTGCTCAGACCCTCTGCAACTGCAGACTGTTTATACAATTTCTGGCCAAACCGGGACAGGTGCTCTGGCCTGAGGCAAGGGAGTTTACAGGCTAGTGGAGTCTCATTCGTCACCACTCGCCCCTTTCCGTAACCTCCAACAGGACGGCTTGTCCCGGAATAACACGATCGAGTTGGTCGCGGATGTTGAAGTCCGGGTTTACTTTTATAGACAGTTAACCCCTTTGCCTTCGGAAGATTGGTCGTATGTGGTCCCCTTGTCTGAGATGCCTACGTGCAGAATTGTGTCCCTTAAGCGGACAAACAAACTGTGATCGAGGGTTCGAATCCAGGTAGTAATTTTACTAGTAAATGTTCATTCCTGCGTCACTGGAGGCTCTCCTCGCATATCAGGTTAACATGCGCTGCCATAATTGAAATAATGCTCAAAGCGTACTAAACCCATCTCTCCCTGGTACACGTATTTATTTAAATGGACAGTAGGATTACAATCTGTAACAAGTGGGTGAATGAGTGAGTCCAGTTTTACGCCGTTTTCAGCAATATTCCAGCAATACCACGGCGGGAGACACCAGAACTGGGCTTCACACATTGTACCCATGTGGGGACTCGAACCCGGGTCTTCGGCATGAACGCTTTAACCACTACGCTACCACAATCTGCTATAAAGTGAAAGCGACGCTATGCTGCCATGAATCCCATCTCGAACTATCGGTTCCTGGCTGTCTTGGATCTACGTGCACATGATTCATTCTTTTACTTTGGTCAGTTGACAATATTCTTGTTTTTTTTAGACATTTTGCAAAAGAGGTTTGGTAGCGAATGAAGATCTTTTCCCACCTTAGTAGGTAACACTCTTCGAAATGTAAACGCCGTTCCAATGTTCCGACTGTACATCGGACAAAGTGATCATTGCTGCGTTGCACTGCGATCTGCCACCATTCCAGGTATATCATGCAAGGAGAGAATGAGTTGCAGACATGAAATTTGATTTCAAAACGTTTCTAAGCAGTGTTTAAGACTCTAGAAGAAGGCACAAAAGGCAAGGAAAGTTAAATATTTCAACGATCCTATTATATTTTCCATCTTCCATTGTCTGCCAGCAGTATATGTGAACCAGCATACATATTCGTTTCACTGATGTTCAAATGGCGGTGTCTTTTATTTAATGTCACATTCCGCAATTCCAGCTAAATGAGAGTGGACTTAGTCATGTCCGGAACAGATAATCCAGAGATATTATGAACGATCCACATCAGGATATGTCAACAGCCATCCAGCCAGGTCGCTCGATCCTTTTGATCTCTCTCTTAGGACAACACAGGTTGCTGGAATCCTTTTCTAGCAAGGAGCATACACGGTTCCTTTTATGAAATCGCTTTTTGGGACTGGACTTAGCTGGCTGTTTTGCGCGCGCTGACTCGCGATACGCGAGACGAGGCCCCAACTTACTTCCGGTACCAGGTTTCCGGTGACAAGCGTATACTAGTATTCAAGAACCAGTTATGGTTCAAAATTGTGCGACCGCCAAATATGACAGTCGTAATAGTTGGCTAATTCCGAGATGGTTAGATCGAATTTTTTTTATTCCTGCAAGGATTGTCGGTTCCTTACTGTCAACTGACATACCCGAGACCATTCGAAAAGGTGTGAAATGCTATTTGTCACCGGAAGCACTAAACAACGTAAGGTCTCGAGAAGTGTCATGACCTGGGTAGGAGCCCTACAGGTTGCTCGGGATCTATCCTCGTCACTGGCTCTTTCAACCAGCACAAGTTGCTCGGGATCTATACCAACATGGAACCCATGTCATGGACTCTTTCAACCAGCACAGGTTGCTCGGGATCTTTCCTAACATGGAGCCCATGTCACTGGGTCTTTCAACCAGCACAGGTTGCTCGGGATCTACCCTAAAAAGGAATTCACGTCACGGACTCGTTCAGCCAGCACAGGCTGCTCGGGATCTATCCTAACATGGAACAAACGTCACTGGCTCTTTGCACCAGCACGCTTTAATGGATCTCACAGAACTGTCTCCAAAAAAAAAAGGAACCTACAGGGCAGGCTCTTTCAACCAGCACACTGTACTCGGGACCTATTCTAACAAGGAACCCATGGCGTTTCCTCATTCAACCAGCACACGTTCATGGGGACCTATCCTAACATGGAACCAACGGAGGTTGCTCTTCAACCAGCATAGGTTTCTGGGGACCTATCCTAACAAGGAATCCACGTCACTGGCTCTTTCAACTAGCACTGGTTGCTCGGGATCTATCCTAACGTGGCACCCACAGAGTTGGCTCTTTCAACCAGCCTGTTTTAATGGATCTTAAGGAACCTACGGGACTGGCTTTCAACCAGCACTCTCGTCTAGGGACATATTTTAACAAGGAACCCATGGGGTTACTCCATTCAACCAGCTCAGGTTGCAAGGGACATTTCTTAACAAGGAACCGATGGAGGTTTCTCTTCAACCAGCAAACGTTTCTGGGGACCTATCCTAACATGGAAGCCACAAGGTTGGCTCTTTCAGTAAGCATGTGGCTGGAGACGTTGGAGATTGGATCCTTGTAACCTAGAATACCCACAGTAAAATGGCAATGTAAAACCACATCCACATAAACTGTTTTAGGGGCATTCTAGAAGTTGTAAATAATAGGAATGACATGTCTTGATGGATAATCAACTTCTTTATTGTGCAAAAGCGACGTTTCGGTATAGATACTTACACCGGTGTAAATAAACATACCGGAAAGTCGCTATTGCACAATAAATAAGTTGTCATTCCCACATCCAGATGAACACAAAACAAACTGTGATTTTTTTTTTAACAACTTTTAATACAGGTGATCCGACATGAGGAATGCATGAATAAAGCAAGTTGTTAGCCAGTAACCACTATTACCAATACTATAGGTAACTAACACACATGCAATAGAAATTTTAAATATAAACACAGTAGAATGACAGCCTCTAAAGACATCCACAAAACATCTCTGTAAACCTCTTTATTAAGTGCAAAAAAATACTGCTATTCCTAACCTGAAGTTGGGGCCGAGTGCATGGTTGGTCAGTGCAAGTTGTCACCACACCCATCACCATTGCAACCAACAACGTGAGTTTTATGGCCCACCTTGTTGGATCAGGACCTTCACTCTCTAACTCAGCAACCTTGCTCAATAAGGCAGTAACTTGTGACCCTAAAATCCTCAAACCAAAATTAAATTTCACAATTGTGTACAAATATCTGGGTCTTGTTTCTAGAAGAAACTCAGTTGGGTTAATGTTACAATATGGAGTTTGGCCTCCATGAAGTACCGATGAAGGACGAGATGGGTCAAATAATATCAATAATATCAGAGTGCAAGATTTCTCTTGAGTAGTTCCCAAGTTATGCTTACAACTTTTCAGTATTCCAATTAATCCAGTCGCTCAAGACTAATAACACTCAGGAAGGATTTGTAACATTTAGTTTTGTATTACCTCTCTTACTTCAAAGAGATGGCAACACTGTCAACTGTTTGGCTACTGATTTAAAAATATATATTTCTAACCCCACTCTTATAATTGAGCTCTGCACTAACAACTCCATCCTCGATAATCTCCAGGGTATACGTTACGATCACTCTCCACTATACACCTGGATGCATTCACATCTTGGCCCGATAATTATATTACCTCCCTTTGCTGGCTCTGCATTCTCACAGTAGCCAATCAGCTAAGCATTCATTACATCCGGCTTGCCAGTGTCAACAAAGATAGCGGCCGCATTCGCGAAGGTTTGTTCGCAGTGTCACTCATATGTTGCCAAGTTAAAACAGTTAGATATTTTAAGAAGCAAAAGTGAGTTGTGATTGGTTCGCTCAACTTCCCAGCGTAGACACCTGATTGGATAAAAAGCCAGCCAAGGGAGGTAATAAAATCATCGGTCGAAGCCGTGGATGCATCCAGGGTATAGCGGAGAGTGATGGTAACGTATTCCCTGGAGATTATCGAGGATGTAACAACCCAAGAATTGATCAAGTAAGATACAACTTGGGATTCAAATACATGATCATCAGATCCAGGCACTGCTAAGGAATGTAACTCTGCACATCAAATTGTTGTGACCTTTAGCCACTTGGGACCTGAAGAACCTCACTGACATGTACAACAATTATGACCTAAAGGACATGATTCATGCGTTCCTGAACACTAACACCACTAGAACCAATAGAAAAGTGTCAACGTCTTGATATAGAAAAATGATTTATCCCTTGTAAGAACTGGGACCTCATGGGAATCCAATACAAGTAACAGCTGCTACCATGACAACCGACTAGATGCAGTACATGTATATGACAAGCATTGCTGGAGAGCAGGATTTCTCAACACTGGCACAATGTAAACAACAGCACTGAACATGCTCAATACATTAACAAACATACAAAACAACCAAAGCATAAATCTGTACGTGTAAATCAGCGTGGTCATCCAATACTAATTCATGAAATATATATATTTAAAAAATAGTCAAGACAAAATACAAATTGTATAAAAATTGTCCAAAAAAATAGTAAGGAGCAGTGGAATACATTTTTTTTTATCAAAACAAATAAATGGCATTGGTCATTAAAGGACCAATACAGGGTGTACTCTTGATGTGAACAACCTTGAAGATTAGGGAATATTTAGATCAAAAGGCAACAGACCTCTCACAATATATTTGTCGACTGATATTGTCAATCACATTGCTTTGCAATCAAGGTTCATCGTCAGTATTTCATGGGCCTGTACACAGTACTTTCATCAGAACTTGTGAACACATCCGACTCAAACCCGTTCTAGCAATAATGTGCTGTTTTCAGGTCAAGGTAGGTGGAACTTATGAAAGAGAAATCAACACTGCTAAAAACATGACGTTTGTGCAAATCCTACTATTGAAGAATGTGACAAGCAGTGGTGGTCCGAATAATTGAAATAATCGAAGATTGGTTGCAGTGACCAAACGACCAAGCAATCGATCATGTTTTCTCATAATCGAACACAAACAATTCTGGAACACTTGTTTTCATCAACAATATTTTTCACAAGGTTGGTTTTGTCTGTTACATTTTATGACCACTACAAGCTCGTTCCAAGTCATGGTTGAATTTTTCTTCAAGACTCCAAGAAATTAATGTTCCTAACCTACTAGTCATCTTTTAAAGATGTGAAATTTGCCAATGCCTTTTGTGCAATTTGCAAACACACCAAAGAACTACAGGGTGTTTTTTCTTAATTTTTTTTGTCCATTAACAAAACTAATCAGGAAAATGTCATAAATGAAGCTAACCAATTATTTTCGATGACTGATCGGTTGTAATGAACCAATCATCAATTATGAGATTTTGACCAATTCCCAACACTAGTGACAAGTGTATGTACCACTTTGCGCAAGAGTACACACTTATGGGCTACAATAATCCATTATCATCATGGCCAGGGGCACAGGAAATGGGCCTTATATTGCAGGAATCGAACCTTGCTTTTTAGTGTGAGAAGCGAAAGCATAAACAAGGCTATCCCACTGCCCGTTGCACAAGATATATTGCAGTTTGTGTAATGTCATGTTCGAGTTCATTGTTTTCCATTTCACTGGAACCATGCTATGGTCTAAAAATAACAATAAGGTGAGGCAGAGATACAATACATATGCTGATAATATGGGAGTGATAAGATTTCTTAAGTACTTTTATTTCATAAGTTCATACTCTGTCACTTTCTGCAAATGAATCACATCCCTGAATCATTTATTTTCATATTTTAGGTAGCACAGATGAGATATTGTACAGGAAAAACAAACTTGGGGCACTGTGCAGATTCTGCAATTTGTACCCAGCCTGGAGATTCTAGAGAATTTGCTTAAACTGGTTAAACAGTCTCTGTTATTTTGACAATAAAATAACCTGTAATGAATCACAAGTATTGTGATACAGGAGCTGTTAATCTATGTATTGTATCATGTGCCTCATATCACCATATAATACTGTATACCGTATAATTACACCATACGACACAGCCAATCAGCTGCATCGACTGACAATGGAGGAACACATATACAGCCCATGTAGCACTGACAATGACAATCATGAGTGATATCACAAGCTGAAAATACTGACATTAAGCTTACAAAACACTTGCAAGAAGTCAAGAAAATAGTGTAACCAGTTTGCTATCCATCTTCACACACGTCCTTATTTTGGAATTCAAGTTTCAGAATGAATCAGATGTAAGTAGCTCCAATGACAGGCCATGTCCGCAACTGTTTTTTAAGGTTATGAACGAGTTTTACCACCACTATAACTACATAACTAAGAACCAACTGGTTGATATGTTAGGGCTGGCTATCAGTATAGATCATAGAGATCGATAAATGTTAACTAAATATTGATTGGTTATTGATGAATATCGGTGGCGTAACTTTGAACAAAAATGCCAAAATGTCTGAAATAAATACATATATGTCACATCACTGGTGAGTTGTGACATGATTTTGCATGGATTATTAACTAACCAGCATCCTGGGCCCCGTTCCTCAAAGCGATCGTAGCGCTACGATGATCGTAACTCCCATACTTTAACATAGACTTACGACTGTCGTAGCGCTACGATTGCTTTGAGGAACGGGGGCCCTGAACATAATTTAGGAGCCGATCATCAATAAAGTCCAAAATTTGTTTATTGTGTGAAAAAAAAATGAATTTTTCTCTATCACACAAGTTAATGTACAATATTATCGATGACACTATTTTCATGACGATAATCATAAGAAATTTTTCCAGTTGACGATATTTCCGATTATCGATCATTTTAGCCAGCCCCAATGTTTGTAGATCTAACACACACAAAACATTACCAACACATACACTTGTTTCAAATCTGAGATTATTTTTTCGCAATGACATGGGATTTTTCACCGGTCAGCTTTAAGTACACAATAGCAAAGTCACGTACAAAAATAGTAAAACATGAAAATCATTGTGGCAAATTGCTTATCAAGGTTTATCTGATAATAAAGTAGGCACACAAGGTCACAAGATTGAGTTGTAGCACTGGAAGATAGTGAGCGGGTGATAAGCACATCAATTGGAAACAACTTCGCATCTTTCATGTAATTGTCCCACTTTTCATCACTCCTTCAAAAAGATGCCTACATTTACAAATACAACCTTGACTGTTACTCAAAGGCAAACCTTCACTAAATGTGACAGGGGAAGTGAATGTTGTTTTACGCCCAATCGGCAACATCTCAGAAAGATCGTTTGGGTTTGATAAACCAGAGGTTGATATTAAGAACATAAACCTATGTTTCTGGGAGGCTGACATGCAGACCACTGAATCTGAAACACCTGGTCCAATTTCATTACAATTTAGGGCACATTAAATCATATCAAGTTTAACCCTTTAATAAGAACCTCTTCATCATGTTCATAATATCTAAGAATATAATGTGGAGAAATATTCCTAAACTTTACAATTTGAGACAGCGAGACAGATTTATTCGTAGTAAACGAAGACCATCCCTTTTCAACAAATGATATATTTTTCCAACACTTAGTAGTAATTGAAGGAGGGTGATACCGAGTGCAACCGGGCTTATAGGTTTGGCTGCACCATCAGAATTTGGTTGCACCATAAAATAATGTCACTAGTTCTAAAAAGAAAATAAATATTTGCTTAGCAATTTTCATACATTCATCAGAATGTGACCCCATGATGATAAATGTTTTATGATTCTGTTTCAATTTTGCCTTAAATACCTTTTTATAAATTTTAATGATATGACAACTTCTAGGTAACGGATTTATGAGTACACAATTGTTTAGGCTTGTAACAAGTCGAGCAGAGAGAAACATATCACTTACAGTCACACACGAAGACAGCTATAAGATGCTGGAAGATTATTGTTACCTGCACCGGGTGCAACCTGTTACTGAAGGTAACCTGCACCAGCCATTTTTAGCATGCACCAGTGCAGGTTGTGAGTGAGTGAGTGAGTTCAAATTCAACGTCACCTCGACAATATTTCAGCCATATAGTGATGCAGGTTGTAAATAGCAAAATCGCACCCTGTAATATACATGTTATCATTGTGTATGTGCTCATAAATGTCCAAGCATGGTATTGCTGCGAAACTGTTACTTCAACTTTGATCAAGGTGTGGTAATGTATTCAAATATTACGTACAGTTTACATCACAAAAGATGCAGACACTGATCAAGTTCATTTTTACGACACTTATTACATACGGAAAAAGCCCTCTGCACTGTTTTCAAAAATACTACTCAAAAGATGTTAAGGATAATTCCTTCATAGTACTACAGTAAATGCAATGACAGATTAACCATAGCAATAATAAAGAACCAGGAGGTCCATGGCAAGACAAATCAACCATAGTAACATCAATATCGTGAAAGAATCAGGTGCTCCTTAACTAATTTTGAGTGGTATAATAGCTTTCCTATGAAAGCCAGCAGTCAAGTTAACTTTTTCAGTCTTCTGCAATAGTTACCATGGTTACTGCAATAATGTGAATTACTAATGGTGTATAATGTCACTGTGAACATATAAACATGTGAAGATATAAAAGTGCTGAGTGTGCAGTATTATAGTGACAGATGCCTGCTACAAATACAGGCTATGAGACAATAGGACTGAAACGGTATATCGCGGCATTACTAGAACCACAGTATTTTGCCTTCGGTCTGGAAAAATGCGATAAAACAAAATCAGTATTTTCGGTTTTCGTAACGTTATTTTAATAACCTTTTAAATCCCTTTTCTAAAATGTCTAGAAATCATATCATTTTGTCAAAATCTATCTAGGTTTGGCTCTTGTCAATTTTCTGCATTATGATCATATCTGATATACTTAACTGAATCATAACGAACCGAACCGAAGGCCTTGTACTGTAATATGTACCGTACCATTTTAAGAGCATACCGTTTCAGCCCTGTAAGTTAACACAGCACCAAGCCAAGAGGAAAATGTTCCTACCGGTGCCAGTCTAAGTAAACTTAGGCTCAGTATTATTCGTTACACTGCTATACTGAGTCTAACAAAACCTAGTAGAAGGTTGAGTCAGCTAACCTTTTGGACTGACCAATCAGAACACAGCTTACCAAATCGCGAAAGCTAACATTCGCACATACCGTTTGAACCTTTACCTAAAAAACTCGAACGATTCCGAATGCTATTTTCTGCATGATCGCTTCCGAGTGATACACGCAATGAGTAAACAGTCGCTGAAAATAGCGTTTTTGTCAATATTCAAGGATGTCACCTTGCGAAAATATAAACAAATAGTTACCATGTCATTAGAAACCCCTAAGCATATATACTGCAGGTAAAATATCTGTGTTTTATGCGGATTTTCGTTTGTTGATAGATCAGTTTCAGCGACCAGGGAAGAGAAAATCCCCAAAACGTTTTGTAAGTAAAGCCGAACCCTAACAAGTAGTCATTGTCTGATTGGTTAAATCCGTTCGTCCGTTTAGTCATTGTCTGATTGGTTAAATCCGTTCGACCGTTTCTCGTTTGATTGGGCGGTCATAGGTCGCTCAAAGGTTAGCTGACGCGACCTTCTACTAGGTTTTGTTAGACTCAGTACAGCAGTGAAACGAATACTACTGAGTCTAAGTTTACTTAGAGTGTACCGGTGCACTCGTGTTTTACAAACACTGCTACAGTTTGACATAGAAACCTTGTTCAACAAGTCTCATCATATGAACACATATAACAGGAAATTGGGCTACAGATTCTAATCAGATCTTCAACATATTGGTACAAATTATTAGGGCATAATGAAACAAGAATGAACAAACATGATCCATTGACTTGTGAAAATCAATATCAAATATCCAGATTCATAAACAGGTTGCTCAGAGACTTAGTTCAAATATTGGCAGAAAATAAGGAATATGTGTAATTGGAGGACAGTACCCTCAATTAAAGACATATGTCATGGTTGGTGTTAACTGCAAATAACATGAATATCAAAACACTTAATTGTATTTTGTGGAAAAACATTCTTCCTTTTGGGAAATTTAAATTCACCCAGTGTAACTAAATACATCATTGTGATACATACACCAATAATTAGGTAATATGATATCAGTATACCATGGACAAATCATAGTGAGTGAGCGAGAATGGTCTTACGCCGCTTTTAGCAAATATTCCAGCAATATCACAGCGGGGTACACCAGAAATGGGCCTCACACATTGTACCCATGTGGGGAATCGAACCCGAGTCTTCGCCGTGAAGAGTGAACGCTTTAACCACTAGGCTATCCAACCACCCTGGCATATCACAATGTATTGTAATACCAGCATACCTGCTTAACTTTACTAAATTTCAGTACACTGTCATTAAATATCAACAAGGTCCTCTGCTTGAAAGATGTTTGTTGATACATTACAACCAGTGTTTCCGTTGGTATTTTCTTTACAGCTGGGCTATGTGACCGGCTGGCATTTCAAATACTGGTCATTTGTATATTATACCAGTCAAGTGATTACGCTTTTCATTGAGCGCGACACCCTGCACCCTTACAACAATCAGAAATGTGGAGGGTACAATGCATCAATGACACTATTTCTAGCCTGGGTTTTCCAAATCTGCTATTTTTTATTTAACAACACCTCGATGTCATTGTTAAAATGTAATCTTTTTCAAGGAGAAATAAAATAGACAGAGGTAATTAGAAAATTAATTTTAAAATTTGCCAGAGATGATGACCAACAGCTTTTGAAATTACCTGACATTCTAACTTCGTACCAGTCAAAGTCCGGTATATTCCGGATAACAAAAACACTGTTACAATGTACTTGGGGTCTGTTAGTCTTGACTATTTCACAGAGAACTTGGTACTTTGGATTTCTTAACAAACCAGCATAAACAAATGGCAAGATGCTGTACAGAGGGACTGGAACGTCAGGTTCCAGGATGTCAACCCTGACTAGGTTTGAAGAAATAGCAGGGTAAACAGGAGCACAACATCCAAGTCCCAAAGTCTTTCAGAGTACATGCACTTGGTTCCCTGTCAGTATCAACAAAGACTGATCAACAATGTGACTTAAGTGAGTTTTAAGATAACAACCAATCAGAGATGCTGTAACTCTGAGGAATAGACATTTTAACACAGAGCAAATTGAAACAATGGCTCTTATTGGCCAGCATGGTCATGCTGAAGAAAATTTTAAGTAACAGGTGCATTAACAATTAGCCCTATATAATTTTCATCTTTGAAAGTAATCTTTGGGATGTTACATAACTGTGATTTGGAGGACTGGCATAATAGTACAATTATTTATTCAAAAGTCAAAATGTTTGGCGTCTCAGAATTTTAGTTAAGATGACAGAAGCCTTGGTACAGAGCAGGAAGTGGTCCTTTAGGCATTGTATCTCAGTGTAAAGACCACCAAAATATTCCTCTCTTAACAAAGTGCATGACGAGCCTCTCAACCTTTCTCCACACTTTCAAACACACAGAAATAACATATTGAGAGGTGTTTCCCATAAATAACTATCTGATTTGTTGGTGCTTATGAATTGTTGCTTATCATGTTTACAAGCAACATTGCTCCTTAAGTTTCCCCGAACAATTAAAAGCTTAATGACAGGCAAAATGGGAGAGCCTTCGTCCCTGTCATCAGAACACTTGGTCGAGCTGAGCATCGTCGAGCCTTACTGAGCAGGTACAGCAGTATCAGCAGCAGCAATCGTCTCCACCTTCTTCTCCACATCAACATCCAGGTCCTTTCCTGCAATTTCAACATAACTTTCTTATTCAATCAATGTTTTCTAACCTAAGATTTTCAGGGTGACTCACTTTAGTGAGAGAGTGAGTTTAGTTTTAAGCCCCTTTTAGCAATGATCCAATAACACCACTGCGCTTCACATATTGTACCCATGTGTGGAATTGAACCAAGGTCTTCGGCGTGACAAGCAAACACTTTAACCACTAGGCTACCCCACCGTCCCGTCACTCAGTTTAACAGAATACTCAAACAAGGTGTGAGGTGACATTGACATTTGTTCCTATTGCATATGAATCCAGAGACCTCCCACATCTATGTGTTCACATTCAAGACAGATTCTGTTGACGGATTGCTTATGCAAAGTGATTGATGTAAGGGAGGTAACTCTAATAGTCTTATATTACAGAAGTCTTTCCAAGATGGTGTATTCAAATCCTTTGAACAACATACAGTTTAGAATATTATGGACCAGACAATCCAGTGATCAACAGCATGAAGGGTTTTATATAGCTCTTCAAAACTGGGAGTCCTGGGGACTCATGGCATATTTTGTTGAGAGTCCATTTCCAAAATTGGGAGTCCATCAATTTGCATGAAATCAATGATCATGGATGCTTCTATTTAATAATGATTATGTTATAATATGTGTTACTTTCAATGTCATTAGAACAATGATTGGAAACAGAATGTTTATATTTTAATATGGGATATCATTACAAACTCAGAAAATTCTTTACCAGAAAATAATTATATTAAGTCGACAAGGACACACAGGATTTTAGTTTGTGGGTACTTCATCAAATTTCTGCGTCCAATACGTAGGAATCATGTGTCCCGTAAAACCCTGGCATAAGCATCAATCTACACAATTGGGATACGATGACATGTGTCAACCAAGTCCCCGATCCCATTAGTCGACCTTTTACGACTTCGACAAGCATGAGTTGCTGAAGACCAATTCTAACCTGTACCTTCACAGGTCTAGTGACTTAAGTCACAAGACTGGTTATGAATGAATGTGATTGTGAGTAAATGTTGTCTATGTTAGGGATTAAAATGCTGGGATGTTTGACTTTGTGTTATGTCTGACTACATGTCAAACACTGGTTAAATAACATAGATAAATTATCATCTTTACCTTTAGTTTCAGGTTCAGCTTCGGTGACGTTGACAACTTCCTCCTCTGTCGTTTCTTTGATTGTTCCCTCCTCTTTCTTCTCTTCAACTTTCTCCTCATCTTTCTTCTCTTCAACTTTCTCCTCATCTTTCTTTTCTTCTTTCACTTCCTCCACAGTTGCAACGGCAGCCTGAGCTGCTGCTTCCGCCTGACCTTCACCCTCAACTTTAACCTCAACCTGGCCTTCACCTTCAGTTTTGACCTCAGCCTCTTCCTTCTTTTCCTCTTCTTTTTCTTTCTTTTTAGCCGGAGTGGCTGCAGCGGCCGGTTCCTCAACAGGTGGCTCTGGTGCGTCAAGAGGTTCGTATCCCTCCATGTGACAGTAGCGAGCACTCAGTTCCCACAGCTTCTGAGCCAGTTCTTCATTCTTGGATTCGGCTGATGAATCGGTTTCAGCATGATCACGGTAAAACTTACCACTCACCCCTGAAAATAATAAGATTTTTTAAGAACATCATTTCTAAACTTATATTCTTCAACTACCGTAACTTTATGTTCCTATGAGGGGCGGTCGGGTAGCCTCCTGGTCTAGCATCTGCTAGTCACTCTCAAGATCCGGCTCGACTCCCTACATGGGTATAATGCGTCAAGCCCGTCGTGATATTGCTGGAATATTGTTACAAATTTGTATATTATTAGTATATATTTTTAATACGCTTTTCCCAGACAATATCACATTTTCACTGTTTGAAATTTTAAATAGTTTAAACCTGTGATTCAGAATCTGAATTTATCAAATACATTAAATAGTATCTTATTGCAGCCTCATGTATCATTATACCTCCAGCTTCGGTGAGTGAGTGAGTTAGTTTTAGTTTTACCCTGCTTTTAGCAATATTCCGGCAATATGACAGCGGGGGACAACAGAAATGGGTTTCACACATTGTATCCATGTGGATACTCGAACCCGGGTCTTTGGGGTGACGAGCGAATGCTTTAACCACTAGGCTACCCCACTGCCCCCTAAGATTTCAGAATATAGTAGGTTTCGGTGAACTGTTTAGTGTGTATCATGGCCCCCAAAAGACTATATTCTAACCTTTCAGTTTATCTGACGTAGCAAGTTCAACAACTGCCTTAGCACCCTGCGCTGTCGAACGAGTGACCTTGGTAAAACGTAGGATACCGTCGAGGACATATCGTGTGAAGAACCGCATCGGTGCTGAAGCATGCCGCCCCAGATCAGTCGAGGGGATAAACCCTGCAAAAATAAAACAACTCCATCTCAGATCTTCCGCCATGAAGATAAAGGAGGCACAAGACTGTTGATAATTCAGGGCAGAGAATGAAATTATCACTCTATATAGACCCAACACTTTTAGCACTGAATCAGATTAGTACAAAATGTTGACGGTGCAGCCAAACCTATAAGCTAGGTTGCACTTGATGCAGGTAGTGAAAAAAACCCTGAAATTGCACCCTGCAAACAATTATACAACCCCAACAAAGACAAGAAAGATCATTCATTTAATTTCCATCAATCTGACGACCATTAATTACTAAAACTTCTGTAAGCCCTGAAACAAAACAAGTCAGGCTTAATGTCAGAGGTACAGATAAGCTGCGTATCTGCGTAAATTACGCAAATATTTATGTGAAAACCCAATTCCTACTACGTCTATTGCATACAAGTACACTTGAAAGTTTTTAAATATTCAACAATTTTGATCTTACAAGCATACACACAAAAATTTCAAATGTTAGATTGCCTACCAGTGGATAGATGAAAAATCTGACGTATATTGAGAGGTTCTATTTCAACACATGAACTTGGCAACTTGGAGTTTATAATTAATATTATCGTTTTTTATTATACAGATCAAAATATATATAACAAACATGTAAACCAACATTTAAACTTTATTATATTTTAACAGTTAATGGAAAATGGCAAAATACCCCATTTAGTTTAGGGGGTACAATTTATTTGGTTACTAAAAGGAAAATTAGGATACTCAATTGAGATGAACACAAGTGAGTACATAACTCAATGACCCAAAACGTTATCTGCAGCTCTGTTAATGTTTAAAGATTTGCCAACCTACCTGGACACAGAGCATTGATAGTGACGCCGGTGCCGTCAAGCTTCTTTGTAAGCTCATAGGTAAACATCAGGTTGGCCAGTTTGGAGTTCTTGTAGGCCAGGCTACTACTGTATTTCCCGGCTGCTCCCAGAAACAAATCGTCAAGGTCAAGGCCAGGGAGATCTGAAAGTAACAACACTCGTTCATCAAATGTTGTTTGTTTGTTGCTTAACGCCACACTCAGCAATATTCCAGCTATATCGCGGTGGTCTGTAATTAACCGAGTCTGTACCAGACAATCCAAAGATCAACAGAACAAGCATAGATCTACGTAATTGGGATACGATGACGTGTCAACCAGGTCAGCGAGCCTGACCACCCGATCCCGTTAGACGCCTCTTACGACAAGCATGGGTTTAGTGAAGATCAATTCTAAACTGAATCTTCACAGATTCAAACGTAAAAGGGGCAGTGAGGTAGCCTAGTGGTTAGGAGTTCACTCATCACATCGACAGAAATAGGTTCAATTCCCTGGTTAACAACACTCATTTATCAAATGTAATTGGGTGGCGTGGTAGCCGAGTAGTTAAAGAGTTCACGTATCACACTGAAAGACCTGGGTTTAATTCCCCATGTGGGTACAATGAATGAAGCTCATATCTGGTGTCCCATACTGTGATATTGTTGGAATATGAAAAGAGGCATAAAACTAAACTCACTCACTTATCCAAACTGACCAAAGGTTGAGATTCTTGAGAGGCATTTAGAAGTTGATGAATATATAAGATCGTTTACAAAATCTTTAATTACTAACTCTTATTGCGGAAGTTCCCATCATGCAATATTGATGACACAACAACGATCCTGGAGTCTCCTGTATCGCCACCTGTCTTCTTCAGGTCGTCCAGCAGAAGGTTCGTCAACAAGAAGTGACCTGAAAACATAGCACATATACTTGATATCAACCACATGAACTAACTTAATCAACACACTTTGTTTCCAAACATGAAACTGAAATATTATACGAATACATAAACCCAACATCAAGGTTTGACGTTAACAGTTTTTACTACTAGACCAGTGGACTAATGGGTCTTAACATTTACTAGACGTGACCTAATGTCAACTAGACCACACTGTTGGAAGACAAAACAAGGTTAGTTTTGTTATCTGCAGGTGTATAGTGCATACTAGATGAACAAACTATATTGAACAAAAACCTGTGCCATAAATGTTGCTTTCTTTTGTCCATTATGAATACTGTATACCTTAGGTATTGATTTTTCTGAAGAACGTTTATCATTAACATATAGAGTAGCTTTAATTGTCATTTTACACTTAAATAACCTTAATAAAAGTCTCTTTAATACTCGACATGGCGCAACAAGATTTTTAAGAATGAAAAAAATCGTATACAGTGATTTGAAACAGTGTTCATTAAATATCTACACGGCCAGTCATGATTTTAGCTAGACCGGACCAGCCACCTACTAGACAATGTCATTCAGACGTGCCTTAGTGTCAAACCCTGAACATATTTTGAGTTGCACACTCACATATCTTTTGAATGAAGTAATATAACAAAACTGTCCGCAATCCTTTAAACTGATGCTGTCAGTGAGAAAGCTAAAATACAAAACCGTACAGTTTGTTTGATCTTTTAAAGAACTAATCAACAAATATGGAATCTGACTGTAACAGACAAAGAAGACAAATACCATATTCTAAAGAAACAGTGGTTATATATCTGCCACTGAGCAAGCAAACAAACATGTTGCAAGTGGAAATTACTGGTTGTACCTAAGTGGTTGGTTCCCATGGAGAGTTCGAAGTTGTCTTTAGTGAAGTATCGCTTGTTGTCCTTGCCGTACAGGTAGATGCCAGCGTTGTTGATAAGGCCATGAAGCTTGCGTCCTGATTGGTGAAACTCCTCGACAAACTGCCTCACCGAGGACAGTTCCGCCAAATCCAACTGCAATACATTTTGGCTATTTCAACTCAGATTTTCTCCATACATGATGCAAAAACATCTTGCCTAATTAAACATAAAATCTTAACTAAGATTTCTGAAGATCCCAAGAAAACTATTTCTACAGCCATACAGGAAATCGAGTGAGTGAGTGAGTGAGAGAGTATGGTTCTACCAGAGTTTCCGTTATCCGGTATATACTGGACTTTGACCGGTACAAAGTTAGAATGTCCGGTATTTTCAAAGGCTGTCTGTCATCGTGTGATGCAAATTTTTAAATACTTTTTTCTAAATACCTCTCTCAATTTTATTTCTCCTAGAAAAAGATTACCTTTTCACAATGACATCAAGGTGATGTCAAATAAAAAATAGCAGTTTTTGAAAACCAGAGGCTAAAACCAGTGACATTGACGCATTGCGATACCCTCAACATTTCTGACCCTGACAACCTCACCCGTGAAGATCCGGGTTAGAATTGATCTTCAGTAACCCATGCTTGTCATAACAGGCGACTAACATAATCGGGTGGTCAGGATCGCTGACTGGGCTGACACATATCGGTTCCCAATTGTGCAGATAGATGCTCATGCTGTTGATCACTGGTTTGTCTTGTCCAGCCTCGATTTCATGTTGCCTGTCAAACATAACCAACACTGTTGTTGTTGGTTTGTTGTTGAATGCTGCATTCAACAATATTCCAGCTATATGATGACAAGACGTGTATATAATCGTGGCTGGACCAGACAATCCAGTGATCAACTGAATGAACATCAATCTATGTAACTGGGATACGATGTGTGTCCGCCAAGTCAGCGAGTCTGACCGCCCGATCCCTTTAGTCGGCTCTTACGACAAGTATGGGTTACTGCATCCTCGATAATCTCCAGGGTATACGTTACGATCACTCTCCACTATACCCTGGATGCATCTAAAGCTTGGCCCGATAAGTATATTACCTCCCTTTGCTGGCTCTGCATTCCCACAGTAGCCAATCAGCTAAGCCCCCGTTACATCTGAGCTTGCCAGTGTCAACAAAGATAGCGGTCGCAGTGGCGAAGGTTTGTTCGCAGTGCCACTCATATTTTTGGAGAAATAATACAGACAAATTGACAGATCTGAAACTTTCAAAAAATAAATAAAAGAACTCCTTCCACATCTTTCACAGTACCCTCTGCATCAATTGTGTTGTCAAGTTTAAGCGGTTGGATAATTTAAGAAGCGAAAGCGAGTTGTGATTGGTTCGCTCAACTTCCCAGCGTAGACACCTGATTGGATAAAAAGCCAGCCAAGGGAGGTAATAAAATCATCGGGCGAAGCCTGGGATGCCTCCAGGGTATAGTGGAGAGTAATGGTAACGTATACCCTGGAGATTATCGAGGATGGGGTTACTGAAGACCAATTCTAACCTGGATCTTCAAGGGTGAGGTTGTCAGGGTCATTGATGGGATTGATGCATCTCATCTTGTCTCGATTACATAGGCTGATGCTCATAACCAGTTCTAACCGAGATCTTCACAGGTCCCACTGGGAAAGACCGATAATCCTACTAGCTTTCAAGCTTAGACGCAACCAACAAATTAAACATAATCAAAACACAATTATCATCTATTAATGACATATAATATTCATTGCTGATTATGAAAAAACAAATAAACAAAATTATAAGCGTACAATTGCAAATCAAAAGCGCAATATTTTGTACTTGGGTTTACTACCCTTGAAACGAAGCACCTGGGATACCGAACCCAGTCAGACTGGGTGAGCATGCACTTAAGTGTAACAAAGGCTTTCATTGACTGGTTCATTTGCCGATACGCTCAGGGCTCTTTGTGTGTGTACAGGCATCCCTGTTCAAGCCGTGCGAATCTATTCACTGCGCATGCGCTTTGTGCGCAGCGCAGCACAGCTGTTGAAACCACTTTTCAACCCAGTTGTTTTTTTTAGTGAATCGGATGAACTCCCGATTTTGCTGGATTTTTCTCATCGAGGGATTTTTCAACTTTATAAGTTGAATTTGCATTCTTGATAATTTGTTACTGTATGTCAACACCGAAAGGTATCAGAATCTGCAAAAGTTGTGAAAGCTTTACAGGGCTGGAAATAACTTTAAAATTGCTAGTGTACTCAGGTACAGTGGCACAAGTGCCCTGATACTTTTTCCACTATACCGGCCCATTTCCTTGTTGATTTTTTAAATAAAGAACATCATAATTAACATTGGAAAGTCAACTGGACACCGGTACAGTGTGATATACAAATATGCTTGCCTGACAGAAAAAAACACTGGACTCGGGCGTCGGGCAATGGGCTTTAAGCATCAACTTCTTACCTGCATAAAGCTGGCAAGGGCATTGGGGTTAGCTTTGAGTATCTTTCCCACGGCTGCTTTCCCCTTTTCTTCATTTCTACAAGCCAATATCACCTCGTTTCCCCATCACACAGGTACTTGGCAGCCTCAAACCCGATCCCTCGAAGTTGGCTCCAGTCACGATGATAACTTCGCCCAGTCATCGTGGGTACTGTGTCAGAGCTGAAACAACCACAACAATATTTTGTCAAGTTTTCATTTCCAGGTCACGCTATTCCTCCACAGTAAATGTACCACAGGTCTAAATGTCTTCAACTACATCCCTGATGAAAAACCTGAAACAACTGTGAGGAAGCCAAAATAGGTTTCTAAGGTCCAATTTTGTTCCGCGCTGCGGCGGGGGCAATAAATACGTTTAACATTACCAAGCCATGGTGAAGCATACATATTATTTTCTAGCATGTGAGATGAAACATTGTGAATTATAACTGACATTTTATTTTGATGTACATTAGTAGCAAGTTTAAACCAAACTGAAATTATTCACTCTTTAATATATATGGAGATAGGAATTCATCCAGTCTCTCCGTAAAGCATTTAGGATGGTGTACTCTTGCATAGTTTCAGGACAGATTTCATGAATAACTTGTGAACATTTTCTAAAATGTCTACATTTGAATCCCCCTCACAACCATATAACATGGTTGGTAGGATCATGCAGTCAAAACATTTAAACAAACAATCGATAGGAATGTGAATATTTCTAGCCTTTGAGGGGATAAAAAACACTACTTTTTATGCTTGGTCGTGGAGTATAACAAAGGAGTACGTACGAAATGTACAACAAGATGACTAAATGACAAATCAATTAAAGTGTTTACAAACAATCTTAAAATGAACTTGGATACATTTTAAGAGTAGATATTTTACTTGAAAAAAGTTGAAGAAATTTGACAAATTTTGGCCAGGAACAATAAGGTTCTTTTAACAATGATAGTGATTCATTACCTGAATTAATGAAACCATTGATATATTGAATGGAGGGTTTCTGCCTAAGTGCGTACATCATAGATTCATAATAGCTCTGTGTGTGTGCGATATTATCTTCTTAGTTGCTGTTACACCATATTTTCAGGCTCCCAGTCCTCATTGTGCATGGCTGTATGCCAATGGTTTACAGATAAATAAAATGATATAGAACCAAAGGTTTGAGAATATAATGATAAAGCATAGTAATAGTATAACATAAGTTTCATGGTCAGTTATTTTAAGGGGGTTCACCCATTTTGTTCTGGGGAGCTAGGGTGGGGTCAGCAGTTTTGTACACACGTTTTACGTGGGGCAGCAGCAATTTTGTACATAACACCATGTTTAAAATTACGCTAAGAAATTGAGAAGGGGAGGGGGGTCATTGATTTTGTACATGACATGCAGGGGAGTGTTCACTTATTTTGTACATAAATTTTATGGGGTGGGGGTGGGGGGTGTCATTCACATTGTACATGCTTCTTCACAAAAATCATCATCACAAACCACCCCCAAAGCCATAAATTATGAGCGGTCCCCAGAGGTACAGATAAGCTGCGTATCTGCGTAAATTACGCAAATAATTATTTGAAAACTCAATTCCTATTCAGTCATTGCGTACAGGTACGCTTGAATATTTGTAAATACTCAATAAATGTGATCTTAAATGCATACACACAAAAATAGATAAAATAACAGGCATATTGAGAGGTTCTATTTCAGCACATGAACTTGGCAACTTGCAGTCTTTCTTCTCGTTTCTCATATTAGAGATCAAACATAAATAACAAACATGTAAACCAAAAAACATTTGAACTTTATCATATTTTAACAGTAAATGGGAAATGGCAAAATACCCAATTGAGTTTGAGTAAGGTGTGTGCAATTTATTTGGTTACTCAAAGAAAAATTAGGATACCCAAATGAGATGAACACAAGCGAGTAAATAACTCAATGACCCCAAAAGTTATCTGTAGCTCTGGATCCCTTAATTCCTCCAAAATGTCACATATGAAACCATTCAAACCAATACAACATAACGCATTTAGTAAAATATTTGTCACTATTGGAGCCACTTATAAAGATACTCCCACTTGTAAGATGTTACATGAAACCAACAGAGACAGCAACTTGATAATGTAAACAGAGAAGGTCGGCATGACCCAGGTCGTGATGACAATCAGTGACAACGATTCCCCACATGGGTAGTGTGAAGTGAAGCCCATTTCTGGTGTCTGCAGATTTGATATTGGTTTGATTCAAACTTTGTTACATATCTACTGTATTGTTCCATTCAATTTCAATGACCAGGATCCCAAGTTGTTGAGTGTATTTAACTTTACAACCTATTTTAACCCTGTACCATATCACTGGCTTGCGAATGACATAATGCTATAAACGCTTAGTTGAAGGGGTCGAGGGGTCCCGATCTCCAAAGTGTTCGTAACTTTACAACTTATTTATCTCTATACTATATCACTGACATGCAATTGACCTCATGTTACGAACGCTTAGTTCAAAGGGTTCAGGGTCCCAATGTACAAAGAGTTTGTAACTACTAACTTTACAATTTATTATCTCTATACTATATCACTGGCTTGCGAATGAAATAATGTTACGAACACTTAGTTGAAAGAGTCCAGGGTCCCGATCTACCAGATGTTCGTAACTTTACACCTTATTTATCACTATACTAATACTATATCACTGGCTTGCAAATGACGTAATGTGACGAATGCTTAGTGGATAGGGTCCCAGGGTCCCGATAGTAACTCTCCACTATATCACTGGCTTGCGAATGACGTACTGCTATGAACACTTAGTGGATGGGTCCAAGTTCTTTAAAAGCCACAATCATGCAGTTAATCACATACAAGGAAGACCACAGAGAGTTTTTGCCATGTTTACAATACATATTCATCACAAGCCCTTCATGAGGTTCCTGATGGGGTATACTGTCCTGTTCAGCCTAAATCAATAAAGTATACAGGGATTTACAAGACACGAATTCCTGCGTCCTATACGCATAAAAAATTACAATGGACGCAACCAAATTAATTAGAGCGTCCACAGAGACTCAGAAAAAGTCCAAATACTTTCTGTAAAAATTCCAATCAAGTTAAAATATGTTATCACTGAGTTTGCTACAAGCTGGGTTATGGTATTATTTGCAATTCAATTACTGCAACTATGTGATGATCATGATACACAATACAATAACAGTATTAATAATTATATTTAAGTGTCTGGGACCCCCATTTTGTTGTCCAGAACCCCTGAAAATTAAGAGTATGAGTTCCAGGGACCTTGAAATACAGGACTCAAGGTAAATCCCTGAGTATACTCATTGTAACCAGGGGTACACACTTTATTAGGGCTGCAGTGTTCACGAATAGCAACGGACCCTCACACAAATCCGGCAGATTCGCCAACAGTCCGATGGAAGTCTACAACACGCGGGCCGCAGTGTCTGACTGTATATCTCACAATGACTTTGACTGAAGTTATTATATGTGACACTGTTCTGCTGTTTATAAATTTAACGCTTGTTAATAATTTCAACGCCAATTACAAGAAATGCTACCTCTGAAATGTATCTTTATTTTTTCTTCTGTGGGTCCTGTGTCAGGGATAGAAATACTTTTTTTCTAAGTGTGCCTTAGGGCACCAGACATATATTTTAGGTGTGCCTTTCAGAAATTGAGTATGCCCACGTTTTTAGAATAAATGACAATGATGATGATCATTTGAAATTTATTGTTAAATAAAGAAATGGGTTTATGCGCATTCAAATATGTATGGTATTATTTAATTTGTATGGTATTATTAAATATAATTGTTGAAAAATCAGGTGTGTCAAAGGGCACCGAGAACATTTTTTAGCTGTGTCATTTCAATAATTACCGTGCCATGGCACACTAATATATGAGGTACATGTATTTCGAACCCTGTGTGTATTTTCAGTGGGTCAGACAAACATCTGAAACTTACAGGATCCAATGTCCTGTTATTTTGAAACACTATTTGTGGACTCTGTGGCTGCCATGAATACACTATGATGCGAATGGGATATATACAGCAACCATAGCGCAATGAACATGAAAATATATTTACGAATACAATACAGACTAGGTAAAGTAAGGCTCAGTATTATTCGTTACACCGTTACACTGAGTCTAACAAAACCTAGTAGAAGGTCGCATCAGCTACCCTTTGAGTGACCTTTGACCGTCCAATAAACGCGAGACGGCCGAACGGATTTAACCAATCAGACAATGACTACTTGTTAGGGTTCGACGGGACTTACAAAACCGTTTTTGGATTTTCTCTTCCCTGGTCACACAGATACTGATCTATCAACAAACGAAAATCCACATGAAACACAGATACTTGACCTGCAGTATATACGCTTAGGTGTTTCTAATGACATTGTTACTATTCGCTTATAAAATCGCAAGATGACATCCTTGAATATTGACGAAAACGATATTTTCAGCGATTGTTTACTCATTGCGCCCTCCATGGGTATCACTCGGAAGCGATCGTGCAGAAAGTAGCATTTGGAATCGTTCAGGTACAAAACTTTTTCGAGGCTGAAGTTCAAAAGGTATTTGCGAATGTCAACTTTTTGCGATTTGGTAAGCTGTATTCTGATTGGTCAATTGAAAAGGTTACTTGATGCGACCTTCCACAAGGTTTTGTTAGACTCAGTATAGCAGTGAAGCGAATAATACTGTGCCTAAGTTTACTTAGACTGGAATACAATATTGAGCCAGCAGTTATTAGATTGAGTTCATTTAATATATACTACAAACAAAAAGTATGGGAACACCCTAAAATTTGATAGTCATATCTAAACTTAAACATGGAGAGGTCATTTATACTCTATGGTAAATGCAACTTTTTATGTGCTAAATGGGCACTTTAAATGACAGTGAAGTAACTGATTCAATATTCGTTGAGTTTGAGTGAAAAGAAACACTGTCAAAAAACAGCAAAAAACTAGGGTGCTGAAACACACCGGCACCATGTTTTATTCAAATGCCCAAACACAGCAGCCTAGTGTATGTGGAAGACAGTGTAAACATTTCAGATTATCAAATGCTGCATGGTATAATGAGTGATCTAATTTGATCCTAATTCTGTGTTTTTTTACCTCGATA